AGGGAGAAGGAGAGGGAAAGACAGCATATGATCAAGAGCCTGGAGGGCACGGCGCTGTTTGATGAGTATGTGCAGTGGGAGGAGGTGGAGTTTTTGTTTTGATCAGAGAGTTAGAGTCCGACGGACGGAACTGAGTTTTGACGGTGGGTTTTCATTTCCTTGCGTAATGCTTGGCTGGCTGGTTGGTTGGTAGGTTGGTATCCAAAACACCTGGGGGCCAGTGACAGGCAGGGCAGGTAGAGGTTGCTGTGTCGAATATATACCATGACGAGGGGGCAATGGGTTGTATATAAGCTTGGGTTCTGGTTCAGACTATCAACCAATCATGGCAGCTTGTTTCAGCTGCCCGGCTAGCTCAATCGGTAGAGCGTGAGACTCTTAATCTCAAGGTTGTGGGTTTCCGACCCCCACGTCGGGCTCAATTCCCGGCGTTTCCAACGCTTCTCTTTTTTTGGTTTTCATTTTCCCACCTTGTATTCCTAAGACTGACTGTCCTTTCTCTTTTGTTTTTGCTTTTGGTTTGCTTCTGAGAAGCATGCATCTGTCCCAAAATACATTCTGTGTAGGATGGAGCGAGGCAGCGTTCAAAATCTGCTAGATCTGTGATTTAGTCGAAGTGCACGTGCACAGCAGAATACCTTGGTCTTTTCTTTTTGGCAGCAAAGAAAAAAGAAACCTGCGTAAAGTGTTCATATTGTAAACCTGCCTTCCCTCTCAAATACATACATGCTTGTATGCATCTCCTACGATGTTGCGAGAATCCTTTGACAATGAAGAAGATAGACAGACAACAATGCTGTAACGAGATTCTGCTGCCATAGACAGTTCATATTCATGGATTATCTATCGCGTCAGCCCGATCGTTATTGCATAGCCAAATTGCTCTTTATAAGAAATGATTCTGGACCTTTTATCATCAACCAATAAAAGCGCCAGTGGTTTAGTGGTAAAATCCATCGTTGCCATCGATGGGCCCCGCGTTCGATTCGCGGCTGGCGCATCTTCATGTTCTTTTGCTTTTTTTTTGTTCTTTTCTCTTCTCCATTGTTTGCATCATGCCACCATATTTTTGCTGCTCCGTTCTCTGGTTGACTTGGGCGAGATTCTTACTCTTGTGGGCCCCGGAAAGCTTTGGTTTACTTATTTTTCCGCATGGGTTTTGTATGCTGGAAGAGTATCTCAATTTTGGAATGTCCCGGGCAGTCAAGTCAATATTGCTATGGACGTTAATAACATCGAAAGGAGAAACTGTACGTACGTACGTACGTACGTACCACTCTCACAACCATGAATGCAAGTAGCCCCGAGAACTCGGTTATGGGAACCTGATCCTATGTGTATAAGCTACGCTGGTCTAAAAAGCCTCTTAAGACCTCTCTCTGCCCACCATCTCTCATGCTTGACCGGACCGCTGCCGAATACGCAAATGCCAGCAAGAATTCTTACTCTACCTACCTCCTCCGTCTCCCAAACCATCCAACTATTTAGACAAGCCACAATCAAACTTGCACATTTGGCACCCAACAGGTCCTCAAAGAATAACAGCAAGTCAAGTTCATAAAGAATAATGTTCGTTAGCATTCATTGCTTCGTTTCATGAGTGAACTCCAACACTTGACCAGCAGGAACAGTAGTATCATTTATCCATATCCGTATCCGTATCCATATCCATATCCATCATGGTATCTATCCACCTTTACAATAATACAACCTGCCATGCCATGCTATGCCTCCTTTGCTGCTCCGTATAAAAAGCAAATAATTGCGGGCTGCTGCTGGCTCAACTCAGCTCAGCCTACCCAGGCGAACTAAGCTAGCTACTCGGACAACAAGAGGCTTGTCCTCTCTTCTCTCCACTCGTACCCTAAAACTCCGTAATTACACAGAACTCTCCCAAGCACCTGCCGAGCAGAAAAAACAAGTGCCAACAAGTCACTCGCTCATTCCATTCAAGAAGCACTCCTCCCCCTCCTCTTCGGCGCCGGCGTCCCATTGACACTCATCCCCAACCCCGCAGCAACCCTGCTCGCCCGTCTAGCAGCAGCAGTAACGACCGTCTTACTGGTCGCAGCAGGTGTCTTGTTGACTTTGTTGCTGATAGGGGTAGAGGTTGTGGTCGAAGACGCCAGATTCAGCCTCGGCCTGCCGGGACCGCGGTGGGGTGCAGGAAGAGGTGGTGGCGGGGCGGCGGGAACCGTAGTTTTCGGCTTCACGGCGGGCGTCGACTTGATAGGCGTCGGGACGAGTGACTTGCCGGACCGGGTGGCACGCTTTGGTGGAGCGGTTACCTTGTGAATTGAGGTGGTGGGTTTCGGTGCCGGTGTCGGTAGTACTTTCCTTGTGGGGGTAGGAGCGGGAGCGGGAATGGACGGGGCGGCAGCAGCTCTCCTTGTGGTAGGGGTCGGTGGTGGAGGGGCGACCTTCCTTGGCTTGGGGATGGAGGGTTTAGAGGTGGTAGCCTCCGGAGCGATCTTGGTCCTGCTCTTAATCTGGCTCTTTGCAGTTTTGAGCACCCTGGGAGTGCTAACCTTCTTGGAGCTCACTACTGGCTCATCAGCAAGCTCATCGATATCGTCGTCAAGAGCGGCATCGGCCTTGAGGACATCGGCAAGGAGGGAGCTAGAAAGAGCTCGGGTTTTGGAGTTAACGGGCGCCGATGCTTCATCCTGGAACCTAGCCAGAGTTTCTGCCCACCGAACCCCCTTGTTCTTCTTTTTCTTCTCAGTCTCTGACGCCTTGTTGTTTACAACGGAACTAGAGCTGTAGACATATTCCTTCCCTTGCTTGTTCATTTTCTCCATCTTCTTGAGCACGACCTGCGGGAACAAAGCGCTGCCCTTGTTCTTCCGAGTATTGTATCTCGTGACGGCAGCCACATCCTTCTGGTCGTTACGCGCTCTGACCGTATCCATCATCTCCATCCCGGGCATGCGCACTGGTATGGTGGATTTGGCGATCGAGTTGGCGGACGGGGCAGACTTAAGGTTGATAAGGGTCTTGCGTTGGCGCGAAGACCGGCGAGGAGCACCTTCCGAATCATCACCCTCCTCAGTAGGAGGTTCGGAGTTCTCAACCAACGCCTTCCGGCGCTTCACCGTCCGGGTCACAGGACTCTCTCCAGCCATTTTGGGGGACTCCTCCTTGCCGGGCTCATCGGCCAGCTCGTCAAGCTTACGCTTTTTGGTCGGGCTGGGGCTGTTGGGGCTCTTCTCGCTAAGGGGCGTTCTCTTGGGAGGAGTTTCAAAGTCCTCAGCGGGGGAGTCGGAATCAGCCTGGGGTGGGCTTCTGTTTTCAAGTTCAGCTGCAGCGGCTGCTTTGGCACTCTTATCGGCGGCGACTTTGCTGATGAACTTCCGGATCATATCCGTCTCAGATTCTTCGTGCAGAGACCGCAACGACAGAGTATCGTTTTCGACGCGGATGGGCTGCTCAGTAATCAAAGACACGTCGTCCTCATCATCGCTTATCAACGAGTCTTCCGCCCCAACTTGTTCCACAACCTCGATTTCGTCACCCTCAATTTCGTCGCCGCTGTTTTCGTCGTCGGAATTGCCAGGAGACGATGTCGAGCTTTCTGGGGAATCTTCCTGTGCGCCACTGACGTCTTCTGACTCTGTAGGCGCGGCTTCTATGGAATCGCTCTCCTCTTCAGGGGTAGGGTCACGAATCTGGGAGGTGCTGGAATCTTCAAGCGCATCTGCGCTGGAGGGTAATACTTCGTCAATGGTAGCCTGTTCGACAGACATTGAACGGTCAGCAGATTCATCGTGGTCCATCACCGATGATGTGTCAGAGGTTTCATCCTCTTTATCCTCAGCAGGCGGAACAGTAAGCTCGTTGGCATCCTTGTCCTTTGGAATAAAGGAGTCGACAAAGGAGGCTGACGAATCAGTCTCTCCATTGTCTCCCACACCACCACTCTGGGGCAACGAATGAGACTCAGCCATGACATCTTCCGCCGCAGCAACGTAGTTTTTGGTCAATGTAATGTCATCCTCGGAGGTGGGTTCACTGTTGGGTGACGATTGCTCCTCGGGACACAAAGCTGGTTCGGGACATGCCTGCCCATTGTTACAAGGGCTGTTAGGCTCAATTGGGCGAGCAGCGTCATCATTCTCGCCCTGTATCGGGGTTTCATCTGCCGGTGGCTCCTCTTTGTGCTCTTCAATCTCATCACGCCCCACAGAATAGTCGGACCGGATTGGAGATGCCAGTGAAGGAGCAGCCGGCGTATCTTCAGCTTTTTCTTCTGAAGTGCTGTCTTCCACGTCAGCGGTGGGAGAAACCGGCGCCTCGGAAATTGAGGTCATGGGTGTGGCTGAACGGGGCGATCCAGTCTCAACAGTGATGGTATCTTCGTCAGCAACCAACGGTGAGGAGTTTGCTTGTTGAGCGGGACTTGAAGGAGGAACTGCGTCCTCAGACGACGGCTGGTCGTCATTGCCGTCCTCCTTAACAGCAGAACAAGAGACGTCAATGTTCGCGATCTCAGGCGTCACCTCGTGAGGAGATGTGGGACCAGAGGTCACTTCCTCAACAGACTCATCCTGAGCGGTGCTCTCTAGGTGAGATGAGACAGCAGGCGAGGCGCACACTTCAGCTGTTTCGGGTGTTGCCTCTTGAGCAAGTGCCGGGCTAGATGCCATGTCCTGCGGGACATCATCAGAAACCTTATCATCATTATCGGCAACGATAGGGGCGGAGGCATTATTGTCGTGGCTCTCCGGGGTGGGTTGGCGAGCTGCTTCGATTTCCGAAGGCATTCCTTCAAGCTCTTCCTCGGTATCAACAGATTCCTGCTGAGAGGTAGCGGGGGATAACGCTCCGACAGCAGATTTCTCCGCAGTTGGTACTGGTGAGGGCACTTCGGTGAGCAGTTCATGCGCCGCAGAGTAGCGCCGATGAGAATTAGCAGATGGCTGCGCGCCGAAACCGAACTTCTCGGGCGTGGGTCTCCGGAAAGGTGTTGGGCTAGAAGGCGCCTCACTGGGGAGCTCTTGAAGGGATGTGCCCTCCTGGTGAAGACCAGCGGGGGATGATGCTCCAACCGCAGGCGTTCCAAGAGTTACATGACCAAGAGGCAGTGGGCTTGAAGGCTTCATTGGCGACGATCTGGTGGGTAGGTTGTGATGTTTGACAGGAGTAAATGCCTCCAGGACGGAATCTTCCTCGAGAATGGTAGACAATCCTTCGGGATGCAAGGGCTCAAAGCCATCATTAGCTTCAATTTCTGTGTTGGTTGGTTCCTCAACAATGAGTGGTGCGGGTGATTCCTCTCCTTCGGGTTGTTGGTCGGGTGAGGTAGGCTCAGGGGTAGGGTCCCTAGAATCCTGTGTAGGGGCCAAGTTTGCATCGTTCTCGCTGTTTGTCACACCCACGGTACTATCGAAAACCGCTATTGAAGGGGCTGCAGGCGCGGACCCAACCGGCTCTACGGGTAGAGGAACACCGTGAACGGCCTTTAGAGGCGAGGATGTAACGGTAGATTCCTCGAAAGGTATTTGCGCAGTTCGGGTTGGAGTTGGGGTTTGTGCCCACGGCCGGACATCTTTCCTCCGATGGCCGAAGATATCCAGGTTTGTCCCGACGTCAACCTCCAATGTCCGTGTAGGCGCAGGTGGCACCGGCTCTTGCTTGTCGATTTGCTCGGTTGCGTCCTCCGAGTTCTCACGCGCAGCAGCGTCTTCGGAGCCGATACACGATGGGTTTACTGAATTCCGGCGACTAGTGGTGGTGGCATCCGCAACGGCTTGGACTGCCAAGCTGAAGCTGTGGCGTCGTTCTGGGGCGTCCCGCTCAAACTCTTTGAGAAGCCTAGTGATGAAGCTGGGGCGAACATCACTTCTCCTGGCCGATAGCAAGGAGATGCGTCTCCTGTTCTCATGTTCCGGAACTGACGGTGTCTCTGGGATGGGCTGGTCGAAGAGCAAAGGCGACAGGTGAAGAAGATGCGCAGGAGTAACCTCGCTGTCTGATTCGGACACGCTTGCTGGTCGGATGGGCGTAGACTTGAGGGGTGTGGACTTGACGGGGGTTTGTGCCGAGAGACTGAGCCTCGAGGGCTTGAGGATGACTTTCGTAGGAGTGGCAGTGACCCTAAACTTTCGTAGTGGCGACTCGGCGACCTTTCTCGGGGACGATAACTTGGTGGGCGATCGCTTGACTGGCGACATGATACGGGACACTGGCGGTTTAATAGGGGAAAAGTCCATCCTGCTGGGTGAATCCTCCGATGGGATGAGTGATAGGCGGCTACTAGCACGCCGTGTCGACCTCCTCATCAATTGCGTGCCCTGGATATGATGCGCCGGTTCGACCGTCTCTGGTTCTGCTGGGACGTTAAGCTCGATGTACGGCTGCATCTCAGCCAGCATGCGTGTAGGGTTCGTCAGCTGCTGGAGGGGCCAGCGCGAGTTGTGTCGCTTTCTCGGGACATAGTTGAGGCGGTCATCGGGATAGGATGCGCGTCGGGCTAGGATCTTGGCCACGAGTCGAGGGTCGGGTGCTTCCCTGGCCAAATAGCTTGCTGCTGCTGAAAGGTAGGCTCTGGCCTCAGCCAGGTCAGGGGTTCCGTTGTGGATGGCATAGTATCTCTCGTCGACGTTGTAGTTGGCAAAGGTCGGTACGTAATGTTCGGTGCGCGCGCGCTTTCGCTGTCCTCGGCCTCGACTGTCGAGCTCTACGAAGGCGGGGTCGACGGGTGGAGGAATAACCAGACCACCAACGCGCTTCCAGATCTGGCGCGGCCCGCAGCGGCGGAGAGCAATAACGGGGACGCGCTCCCATGCTTTGGGTGCGGCGACAGGCGGAGGTGCTAGGAAGTCGGATGCGAGAAATGGTCGCCTGCAACAAGACATAAGCGCGGTAAGTCATCACATCCATGCAAAAATAGAAAAAGTAGAAACCCGTCCGTATGCGAAAAAGGGAAAGTAGTGGCAGACGTACTCTTTGGAAAATGTGAAAATAGGAGTCTCATGGAGGATGGCAGCGTTCAAGGCGCCGCCCGTAAAGTCCACCATTGTCGCAATTGGTGTCCCCGTCATGCGGCGACGTATTCGTGTTTATGTGTTGTGTGTATAGTGTGTAGTGAATTGTGTTTAGCTAGGTATGCAGAATAACCGTAGTTTGTCGCGTTGCTGGGACAGGAGGCGGCGATGGCTGCAAATGAGTCCCGATGTAAACAAAGGTCGCTTTGAAAAAAAAAGGAAGAACGAAAAAAAGGGACAAAATGTGTTTTGCAAAAACAGCAACCAAATACGCGCCGAAAGCTATGCTCTGCCAACAATGCAATGGGTATCCGTCGTAAGTCGTCGTGGGTACCAAAAATGGACCTGGAAAGAAGGTGTCGCGTGTGTGTTTTGCGCAAAGAAGGTGGAAGGCCGCCGGGGGAGGGAAATGGAAGTCAAGAGCGACAAATCGCGAAGACACGGGAAGGTTGCAACTTGCAAGTGACAAAGTCCAATCCCTCCTCCCAAAAAGATGGGGTCGCCCAGAAACACTTCAGCGATTTGTTTACATTGTCCAGCCAATTAACCAATCATCTTGCACCGAATCTGAAGGTAGCACTGGCTTGCCAAGAAGGAATGCTCCACCTGGGTTATACCCCCACGCGGCCTGACGCCTCTGCCGCGAGAAAGCCAGACCAGCCAAACTGCCTGCCTGATGCCGGGCGCCGCTCTATCACTGCAACGCCGCCTTATCTCCACGTGATCCTGAAATCTTTCCCCAGCGGGGACCCTGTGTGTAGAACGGAAAGCCGGCCGGATAGGCTCGCGCGCACACGGCGGCACCTGCAGTGAAAGCTCCCGTCCAGACAGATACGGAACCCGGAAGTGGAAATCCCCCGGTTATTTGAGCACCGTAACGGACACCCCCCGCCACCCGCCGCCCGCCGCCCGCGACCCCGATTGCCTCCCGGTCCCTCCATTTGTCTCGTTTCTCTCCGTCCACCTTTCCGAATAAGCGTCAAAACAACACCGCATCGCCGTCAAAATGGTCCACAAGCCCATCCGTCTGCCGCCGCTGAAGAAGCTGAAGGTCCGCCAGCCCAACAAGGCCGAGGAGAACCCTTGCATCGCCGTCATGTCTTCGGTTCTGGGTATGCTATGCGCCTTCCTCTACAAAGACCCTCTCTCTCTGTTAGCGACACGAACGAACTAACCAACTCCTTTCTCTCAAAAACAGCTTGCTGGGCTTCCGCCGGTTACAACTCAGCCGGCTGCGCGACCGTCGAGAACGCCCTGCGCGCCTGCATGGACACGCCTAAGCCTGCGCCCAAGGCCAGCAACACCATCAACTACCACTTGCAGCGCTTCCATGAGAGGCTCACGCAGGGCAAGCGCAAGAAATAAGCGACTCGTTCGAGTCAACTCCTCGACTCTCCCTCTTTGTTACGACGACGACAACTGCAACAACTCCGACGACGACGACGACGAAGGCTACAACGAGAGGGAGGACGACATGCAAGAGGACGACAAGACGACGACGGCTGCTGCTGCTACTGCAATGACCGATGTTGTGGTGGAGTACTCCCTTTCGAACGATAAAGCCCGATCTTTTGAGAATTGCTACGACGATCGATGCATGCACCATAAAGAAACATCTTGTTTGGAGCAAATGGAATCGACAAGGATGTCGGAAGAGTTGTCGTAGTGGGAGAGGGGGCAAAGAGGAAAACAATTTGAGCAGAATTGGGTTCCAAGCAAAAAAAAAACCAAAAAAAAAAAGAACCGAGACAAGACCAGCCAAGTTCAAGCTTGTCCCATATCCAAACTTGTTCGACATCCATTTTTAGGAATGGGAGGAAAACGACAGGGGATTGATATGGGGTGTGCTTTACATGGCCCTGGTGTGATACCCCGAGGGAAAGCAGGAGCTGGAGTGATGGAGGAGAGGAGGAGAAGAAGAAGAAGAAGAAGAAGAAGAAGGAGGGTAACAGCAAGGCCAATCAACGTACAAGCAGTTCGAATGGTCAGTCAAGTCAGTGTTGGCTGCTGTACAATATTGTGGCAGATATCGATGGAAGGCATTTTTGGGTCTATATGGCGTTTGAGTATATATACACTTGATTTTTTAGAAGCTTTGTAACAATACATCTATATATTCATCACAACCTGCCAAGAGAACGGTGAAACAATATCTTATCTGACTGCTCGCTCTTCACATTAACCGACGTTTCAACTACCCAACTAGTTACTCTCTGCTCTCTTCTCTCTTCTCTCTTCTCTCATCTAGACTCTATATACGACTGGGATAACAAACCAAAAACAAACAACAAAAAATGCGCAATTGGGTATTCATATCTGACTATAAAGATCAACCAAAAAAAAAAAAAAAGGGACACAACAACTTCACTACCGTCAATCCCCTCCCTCTTCCTTCTTTCCTCCTTCCATTCCGTCCACCGATCTGTCTATACTCTCGACCTGTTCGCTTCCCGTACCTCCTCTTGGACTATGACGAAAACCTTCAAATCACCGAACCCGATCCGTCTGCGTTCAACCACTCTTTCGACTCCGGTTTGACTTTCCATTGCTCCTCCAGTAGAGAACTCGCGTAACCCTTGATTCTCCACATCTGATAGACGGCCACAGACGCAAACAAGATGAAGACAATGAAATGATAGAGATGCGTTTCCTCGTCTTCACTTGTCACATCTCGCTGCCATTCCATCACACCCTAAGCCATCCAGACAATCCAGACACAGCCCAACCCGACTCGACAAACAAACAAACACTAAAAGACCGACAAGGTATATAACGACAAACGATTTATCACTTGGAACAAATGATAAGCAAACGATGATGGAAGATGGGGATAAAAATGAAAGGGGAAAAGGAGAGTAGTCCCGTGATAATGATAACAAAAGGAATCCCAAGAAAGTCCGTGTCTATAACCGACACCAAAAAAAACGACTCATTGTGCGTGTGTGTGTGTGTGTGTGTGTGTGTGTGTGTGCTCTTGTGAGACAGAGATACGAGATGATAACTAAAGGAAATCAGTAGTGTTGTGTATAGGTGTCTGCGAGGCGTCGTTCTTTTCCAAGAAGCGTCCGATGACGATGGTAATTGCATGAGTCCGCCTATGTTTATGTATTGGAAAACCCATGCCTGCCATGCCTTTGTTGCCGATTTTGCTTCCAGTTCGACGAGATGAAGAGTCGGTGAAGATACCCAAAAGATACTGAAATGTGATCGAAGTGAAATGGTAGTTGTCGAGTCCAGGTTGCTGTACGAATGAGGGACAGTTAAATAGAGCGACAGAATATGATGGACATGAGAGGAATGAATGCCGCCCGCCATCTTTACAGTATAGGCGCGGTCCAAAGTTTATTCCAAGAAAGGTGGCCGGAGCTAACGGGGGGGTGTTCGGAGCCATATCTGCTCACTCTAACAGTTCCCCTTCGCAGTACAGATCAATTTCCCCGGTGCTATCTGGGTTGCGTAACCCCTCACGCCAGTCCGAGATGGCGATTTGGATGTCATCATCGCTCTCGATCATGACGAAGTCACCATCCTCGTCTCGGTACCGTAGCCTCAGGTTACCCGCACCGATGCTGCTAGTAGTAAACCGTGATAACTTGTTGTCAATGCGGTCAATCAGTTTTTCATAGGTAATGTCGTAGAGCACAACCAAGGTGATGTAGTTGCCGCTATCACAGTGAACCTTCACCTTCAGTTGCGTAGGGAGCATGCCGTCTTCGGTAGGTGAGAGTGGGTTCTGTCCAGACATCATCGGCGCGGTACCAAGAGATGGGGTGATGTTTCGCGTTCCATCAACCGGGGCAAGGGGCGCCATTCCCGGCGGTGGTGGGCCAGATGGCGGAGGGAAGCCGGTGACACTGCCTGGTGTACCCTGGCGGAGAGGCTGTGGAGGGAACTGGTTCAACTGGCCTCCATAGTTCTTCCGTTCTCTACCAGGTGAACTTGTCTGGGTCCGTAGAGGGAGATCATTTGCTGGGCTGCCAGTATTGCTCCTGGGAATGTTGGAATCGTGGCGGGCATGGGTTAGATGGGCGGGAATGCCTGGCACCGCAGGTACCCCTGTCTGGTTGTTGCGGGCAGCGGCCTGGCCGGCAATGTCCGGTGTACTATAACTCCGGCTGCGTGCCTGAGCAAACTGGCTGTTATCCCCCCGAGGCATGACGGGCATCGACGGTCCCCGTGGATTCCTCCCGTTTGGCGTAGGCATCCCAAAGCCCGGAGATGGGCCGTCTCGCGATGGCGCCCTTGGCATGGCAGGGGCTGTGTAACGGTTGCTATCCTCCTGCCATCCTTGTGGGGTACCGGTCTTGGGGAAAGGATAGCCGGCTCCGGCACCGGCAAAGATGCCGCTCGTTGTGCTAGTCCGACTCGAAGCGGGCGACTCGGCTACAGGAGAGAAGTAAGACTCGCCTGCTCGAACAGCGGGTGATGGCTGAAGGCCAACATTGAGAGGGGCGGGAGCTTGTGGAAGAGGGAATCGTGGAGGTGGCGCGCGAGCCATACCTGCTAGACTTTCGCTGGTGGCAGACCGCTGCCGTAAACTTGTGCTCGATCCGTTCCGCTGCATCGTCCCTGGCATAGCAACTGTCGGGGTGACGCCCCCTGGTGGTGGCGCATTATAGATGTCCTCGTCCTCTTCCTCTTCCTTGTAAGGATTCTCGAGTCCGTTGCCTTGCGAGGCGAGCCAGGCAAAGTTTGGTGGATTTTGGTCGGGAGCAGCAGCGGCTTGCGTGTTCTGCTTTCGCTGTTCATCCAGACCGGCAGCCCATTTCTTCATCATCTCTTCGGTCTGGAACTTGATCATGAAATTCTCCACTCCTGGATCGCCCTTCCACCATATTTGTACGGTATACGAACCTGCACAGTCAGCAGCTGTTGTGTTCCGCCGAGAATTCCAACTGTGTCGCTTACCAGGCTTGGAAATGGCTACTACATCGGTGACATTGGTCATGAAGATGCGGCCCTTGAGCTGTAATTTGGCGAACTTGTTCCGTATCTTTGGTACGGATGATCGCGTCTTGTCCTTCTTGTCCTTGGCTTTAGTCGTGGCTATTTCCTTGCAACAGAGCAATATATTCTCAAAAAGATAGATCTCATACTGCTGAGGAAGGTTAGCGGTCCATTATCAGTGCGACAAAGAGGAAAGACATGCGCCAGAGGAGATACGTACGTCCTTCTCCTGTTCACTCTTGCCCGTTATAACAGTGTATACTCCGTGCAGGAGCAGACTTCCAAAATTGTCCACCTTATGGCTCTTCCAGTCGTCTACTCTGTGAATGAGGTCCTGCAAAGCCTCCTCGAGGATGTTCTTATCAACGGCCGAGTTGGCTTTCATCAACACTCGTTCAGCAGCAGCGATGCCGGCAGATAAATCTTCCTTGGTGTGCTCGTCTTCGCTCTTCTTAAGCAGATCCTGTAAAATGCGTTAGTATGCACATGGGTACCAGGAGAAAAAGACCATAGCATCCATACCTTGAGCAAAAGTGGGTACTTGACCAGTCTCTGCATAGGCTTTAGGAGGAAACCATCAAGGGTATTGAAATCACACGCGACCGGATGGCCAGCCTCTTGGATTTTGTCAAACACCTGCGTCGCAACCTGGGCTGCCTTTCTCTGGTTCGCGATGAAGGGTTGGTAGATGCCAAAGTTCTCTTCGGCTGTGACGAACAAGCTTCCCCATTCCTGCCTAGCCTGTGGCATCGAGTTTGTTGTTTCTACCCTGATGAGGAACTTTCGCTGATGATCCAAGATGGAGTTGATATTAAGGAATATGTCGTGAATGAATTCGCCCGGGATAACGCTCCTGTGTTCCAACGTCCTCTTTAAGTCGTGGAGGTTCTCGAGATCCTGTACGTATTTGCGCTCCGTATCTACCAGTTCTCGTACAATGTAATCGCGATGGGTCATCTTAGAACCCGGTTGCGTGATATCATCTTCGGGGTATGGTAGGGTTTGGAGCAAAAGCCCCCGTTTTTCGGCAAGATCGAGCACATAGTTGATAACAGACGTCACCTGGGTCCCAACATTTGCCCGTCAGCATATACCGTTTTTTTTTATTGTTTTTTTTTCTTTCTTTTTTTTTTTCCATTTTTTTTCCATCGGGTTTTAGATGAGTTGGAATTGGGGAATGGCAAGGGGGCGCGAGGAGACCTGCTCACCTTGACAAAACCGGTGGTGTCCTCCCCTGTAAGGTCGGCGACGATAAAGCATTCGGTAACGGGGGGGTCGAGGTCGCTCAAGCAGGCCTTGACGAATTCCATGATGGCGCGTTTGGAGCGCCGGGCTTCCGTCTCGTTCGGCCTCTCGTCGACGTGCAGCGGCTTCTCGGGTTGAAGCGAATTGTAGATGGTGAGCAGGGGCAGTCCGGTGCGCAGGAGCTTCCAAAGGGCCTCGACGGGGCCGTCATCCCCATTCTCCTGCTCGAGCTGAAGTTGTTCTAGATAGCCCTCGAATCCGGGAACCTGGGCGAGGCGTTGTTTGAGCGACAGACATATTTGATACAGCGATCGCGAGGCGTCGGCTCTCTGGTTGATGATGTTTGTGGTGGCGAGCGGCTGGCCGTTCACGGGGGTAACGGCGGTGGCGGACGAAGTAAGCGAGTTGAGCGAAGTCGTGGAATTGAAGGCCGTCGAGCCCGAAAGCTGGCTCGCCCGCGCGGCGTTGGACAGGCTCATGTTGTTCAATCTGGCGACGCCGTCGGTCGACGCTTGAAATACAGGGGCGGTGTTCGTTCGTAGAAGAGTAGCATGGGCCATAGTATACTTAGGTCTCCATTCGCAAAGGGTCGGTGGAGACTCGTGCTTGGTGCCGCGAGGCGCGGGGGGGAGCCGGGAGGGGGGTGGACCGATGGATGGGTTACTGAGGCTCGAGGGGGGTTGAACGTTGAACGTTGGCGTTGCTAACGGGTTTTGGGCGCCGGGCGGGCTGTGAGCCTGTGACTGCTGCTGCTGTTGCTGCTGCGTGTGTATGACAGGACAGACGGGAGACAAGTGATTGACAGTGATGGACGGGACTGACGGGGTTGCTCGGGTTGCCGCTGCGTGCTGTGTGAGATGTGCGTCCTGCAAAGGTACTGCGTAAGTTGCTGCTGCGTGCAGTGCTGCTGTGCAAATGACTGCGCTGTGGGCGATTGATTTGCAACTTGCTCGGCCGGGGGCGCGCTAAGTCGAGAACAGCAGAAGGCTCAATCAACGCGAGTGGAGAGCAAAGATTAGGGAGGAGATGGCCGGATGCCAGGTAGACTATCGCTTGTGCTTGGCTACCTCCAGTTGCTACCGATGGAAATGTCCGACAAAGCGTGTAGGAAGATGGTTCACTTGTGGCGTTCGTTATAGGAACCGTGATCGGAACGATTGCTGGTTTGCAGAAGAATCACAAGCAACGTTGAACAAAGTTGTCAAAGAATGAGTGGGAGAATGAATAATCCGAAGATGGTCCCCCGTTCTTGTCAATGACTGATACTGATAGGAAGGACTTGGAACTGGAGCTGGAACTGGACTGGAGTGGGTGGGTTCACTTGTCGTGTACTGTGTAAGGTACTGAATGACACAAGTCGTCGTTGCGCCTCCTTTTGCGATGCGATATGTCGTCGCTATATTTCGATAGAATTGAGTCCGCGGTCTGTCTGTGGTCTGTGATATCGCGACATGGAAGGCGCCCTCGTGTTGTTTCTCGCTGCTTCTCCTGAGGGGAAAGTTGTTGGTTCAGTTTATTCCTTCCGTGTCGCTTACCCGCCCCCGAGTCCGAGCCGTTAAAAATTGTTAAGGAAAGTAGTACTGGACAGGACAAGCAAGTACCGGGAGGGAGACGGCAGATGGGTTATGTAGGTACTAGGTGAGGTAAGAAACAAAAGGAAAGACGTCCCGTCCTTTCAGCCCCGGAAGGCTATCTTACTTAATTCACCTGTTCAAAAAGAAGACCACAAGAGCCCCCGCAATCTGATCACAAGCATTCACGGGTTTTGATATCGTCCTGAAGTCTAATACGCCGTTACCTGGCCGTGCCAAAACAGAGGCTAACAACTCGTGGCAAGTGACTGGCCCGGCAGAAGATTCTGGTTGGTCGACGTGCAAAGTACAAGACACGGCCAGTCGTCCAGTTAACGTGCAATTCAGCCCAGACACACTTCAGGGTAGGGGGTTCGCGTGTCTGGCGTGTTTGGCTGCCCTTTTGTCTGGATACCTCATAGGTCTAGCATAATGAGCTGGGAAGCCCATGGCCTATTGGGGGTGCGGGATTGACGAGGGCGGGCGGCAGGGCGGCGGCTGATGTGTGTGAGAAGCCCTTTTTCTCTTGCGGTGATGGCTTGATGCCGCCAGCTTTTTTGGAGGGTTGAGAGCATCCATTGTACCTCCTCGACTGGATGGGTCTTTGCATTGCTGCATCGCTGCATCGCATCATGGCATGGATCCATAAAAAAGAACAATCACCGGATCATCATGACTCTTCACCAAAGCGCCAGTTGGAACCAGGCTTTGGAAAGTTTGTTTATGCAAGGTTTGATAAACAGATGTACCTCCTCTCTATCTTGTGGATCTCCAAGGTTCGCACTTGGTGATGCTCGCCTCCATACAACTCCACTCCGTCAGATAAGAATTGTAGGAATACATACCTACCTGAACCGATATCCAACACATGTTCAGTTGATGAATGCTGTGTCAAATTCACCACTCATACCTACAAGTAAATACGTGCGTACGGGCTGAAAGTGTAACGAGATCGGGTTTCGTGGGGGCGTTAGCGGATGCAAGGGCGGGAGTCAATTCTCGATGATGTGTGGATGATCCAGCCCGACTGCTAAAATGTGTGCGCATGAATGTATCAATCTGCAAGGTGAACCCATCGGACGATCTTGTGTCCACCTGGGAATATACAACCCCCCGATGACGGAAATCATATCAAAATGACCTGGAAGAGATACAGCGAGTATTCTGGGCATAACCATAGGGCATGTCAATTCGGCGGCCAATGGATAATACGTAGTCAAATTTTGTCATCCAACCATCGACGACGGGTGTGTTGACCTTAACCGCTCGGAGTTCGGATGGAACAGTTCGGCAAGTTGCCCCTCTCTTCTTTTCATCGGGTGTCGTCTCAGCAAAGAAAGAAGGGGTCGTGAGGCTCTCTCACCCTCCCAAGTCCAGTCATAATTCAGGCTTCGGCTCGACTCGCTCCACAATTGGGCATTGATCGAATCAGGGTTCAAGTGCACCTTGCACACGGAAAACGAGAGTGCAGGGCATTAACAAATTTGGGAGTAATTACGCTGTGATTCTGTTAGTAGCAGCATCCAGAAAAGAAAGTTTCAAGCTTTCAGAGATCCATAGGGAAAAAGGCGCTAGCCCCCTTTTTGGCTTTACTGTCCGGTGACAGTGGGGAACCCCGGAAAGCTTGATGATGCCTTTTGAAGTTTAAACATGGGTTTCCCAATGCGAGGACGGAAATTAAAGAATTCAACGAGTCCACAAATAGTGTAAAGACCAAATACCATCAAGGTCTGCCAGTGTGATCCAGATCCGGATTCAGATTCGCGCATTTTCAAGGGATGCCGGGATGATCATGATCCCAAAACCGTCATCTCCACAATTACCTCCAACTTGGGATACATTGGATATGCCTACGGTATGTACACCACAAAGCAGAAAGTACAGTATCGGCTTGCAACTTGCGTTCGTCTCATTCCCACGTGGCTTCCATTCGTTACTACCATCTTTGATGGTAAGGACCGTTCGTGCCTTCCTTCAAAGCGAGGCGCTAGCAAAGGGGCATAGAAGGGGCGAAAGGGGACGCTTGGATGCTCATCTCCGACTACCGAATTGGGGGGGCTTCATCAGGGAAGGGACGACACTCAAGCTGCGCATCGGATTTGCTCATCACGATGGCCGCAATGAAGTCCAAACGGAACGAACTGAAAGCTCTCCATAATCTAACATCCAATTCCGAGGTTTATCTCTAGCGAAAGCAGAAATCTAGTCTATACCCAAACCCTTCTTGGGTACCATACCACGCATCTTCCTTCGTACATCACATCATCGTCTATTTTGTCGCGTATCATCATTAGCTTCCACCACCACATCTTAGCTCACAACCGGAAGTAATCCAACTCCACCTTCCTCGCCGGCTTCGCAGCATTCGTCACAATCGCATAACCACACCCGAGTCCAGCACCAGCATCAGCTCCATGACCACCTTCAACCTCTTCCATCCTCCTCTTACCCCCATGACCTCCCATGCTGCCCAGCAAATCACTCAAGCTGACGCCATGCGCTGCTGATCCACGACTTGGGCCCTGGCCCTGGCTTTGACCCTGGCCCTCTCCCTTCTCGCTGCCATCTCTGCCAGAAGCCGTGCTCCTTTGATTTTCCTTGTCACCATCGTTATCATTGACAACGCCAGCATCACCATCATGCTCATTATCATAATTCCGGTCTTCAACATCCACCTCTCGACAAAGAGACAAGTCAAAGTTGATCCCCGCCGCCCCCACCAACGCGTCGATGATAGCTGACTTGTTGAAGCGGGGGAAGAGGTCCGGGTGGTCGTGCTTGGTTAGACGGGCGTCTCTTTTATAGGATGGTGGGCTCGGGTGTTGCTGCTGTTGACGATGGGGGGAGATGATTGGTTGGAACCTGGCTAGGTGGTGGCTTGTCATCGTCGTCAGTGCTGGGATCGGGGCGACGGTGTTGGTCATGGTTGTGAGGGCGGCGGGGTTGATGGTACTCGAGGTTGTGGTGATGGATGGCAACGGCTCGGCAAGCCATTCTTCGATTATGTTGCTGTCTGCATCCTCTTCCTGGGCTGGAGCCGTGCTTGTGGCCGGGGCAGAGACCGAGGCCTTGGGATCCTGAGCGGTTTCAGGGGAGGCCTTGCTCTGATCATCCCTTGGCGCTCCCAAATCCGTGCTTTCTTCGGCGGCAGCCTTGTTGGCGTCACAGTCTGAAGGAGCAAGCTTATCTGCGTTCTCTTCTGCGGCGTCTCTGCCCTCCTGATGACTGTGAGAAGAAACAGTTGGTGTGCTAGCAGCTCTGCACGCAAAGTCCGTTTCGGCATACTCTTTATTCGGCCCCTCGACTCCATGTTGCTCCTCGTTTGGCTCTTCCGTTACCGTATCAAGCGCCGTGGATTCCAAAAAGTCGAAGTCGAAGAGGGCGTTATCGTCAGTGTACGCATCCGGAATCGATGTGTCATTATCCTTAGCCTGCCCGCCTTGGCCAAGTCCCTCTCCGGAATCTCGAGGAGAAGTCAAGGGTGGTGTAGGATACGACGATATGCCACCATAACCGCCAATATTGAAGAGTGAAGGAGTAAGGCAGCCACCAAAGTCGGATGTTCTTCGACTCGGGCCGCTACACCTCTGCCTCTTTGAAGGAGGCTGTTTGTTTTCCCCAAACAAGTCATTCTCCGGTTGTTGTCGACCAGGGAACTGCGAGTAGCCATGAGTGTCTCCCCCACCACCGGATAGCGAAGTGCCCCGGGTAGCCCAGTCGGGAGCGCCAAAGTTCAGGCCGACAAGGGGAGTACTGTAGCTCCTCTGATGAGTATATTGAAGAAACGGAGGAGGCACCGACGCTGTCACTTCTGGTGAAGTCCTCGACTGAGCGTGGACACCGCTAACGCCCGTAACAACCTCGTTGCGAATGTCTACCAGCATCGACTTAAGCAGGCGATACATCCTCGCTGCCGGCTGGTAGATGTAGCACATGTCGTAAATTGCCGCAGACAAGACTTGGAGGTATCGCAGGTTGCTCTGCTGGTCAACCTCGGTGGTCCGGTTCATGAGGGCTGCCATCAGAGCAATCGCCGACGTACCCGCCTGCTGGATAGCGAAGATGGGCAGTTTCCTGCCGTCGAATCGGAGACGGTGGTGCCAGAAGATGCGGGCGACGCGGATGGCGTGCTGCGTACACATCCTGCGAGCAATTGCAACCCGATGGTGATGGCTGATGCCCGGGAGCGACCTGGGGGACTGACCAAACGACATGACAGGATTCGATCCGTCTTCATTGTCGTACATTGCCCAGGGCCTGTGAAGCAGAATCATGCAAGTATGGAATTGTTGATGGAGCATGAAGAACCCAACAGGCGCTGCTTGAATGTTGGCGGGCTTCCAAGCCAAGAAGTCTGGTAAGCGGCGATACCAGGCTTGCAGTTTTCTGTCCAGTGCAAACAATCGCTGGTAGGCCTCCTCTCCTGATTTGTTGTTTGCAAACGACTCGGCATACTCGTGTTGGTTCTGCAACTCCAGGATCTTGGCCGCTATGCTCATGAGCTCGAGTAGATGTTGGTGTAGAGAGATCTCAGGTGACTGGGACGTCACCATATCAAATGGGATCGTCGGTGATGCGGTCGGCATGGCCGTACCCTTTGTCGGCTTGAGCCCTAACTCGATACCAATGTCGCGATGCCGAATGCTTGGGGAACGGCCGAGTAGAAGTGCCCAATATCTGTCGAACAAGACACACGCCGTCATGACCCGCCGACGTAGTGGCTCCTCGGCCCGAAGAACCTCGCTGCCGCTTTTTGGCACGGTTACGTGCAATCCAATGTCGATGGCCAGCCGGTTCGCCATACCAGAATACATCCAACCCGTTGAATCCCTGCCAGCGCCAAACTCAAGGTCGGCGAGGATGAGGAGCGCCTGGGTGCTCGGTATTCCACCTGGTCTCTCCAGTTCGGCATCCAGCATGGACTTGGACTCCCGATGGAACGTGCTTTCCCAGTTCCCAAGTATCAACCGCTTGACGTCCTCTCTGCTTCGCTCCGCAAACCTGTACCCGGCAGCAAGCATCGTGATATGAAGGAAAACCGAGTAATGCCTCGGGTTCTGGCTCTTCCGGCCAGAGTCGAATATCTCGCGGTCCACAACTTGAACCGTGGGGTTGTAATGAACCCAGAAGCAGCTCATAAGGTGGTCATGGGTGGACGAGCCAAGGATTCTGATGACGCGCTCGACACGACTTGCGTGATCTATTGTTGGCGGGCTAGGCTGCGAGGTGTTTTGGGCGTGAACGTGGCTGCTGGCCGTAGAACCAAAGTACTGAAGCCTCCCTGACATGACAGAGAACCTGCTCTTTACGCCCAAGAACTGGCGTACGTCGCCATTCCATTGGGAGGTGAACTCGGGGAAAAGTGTAGAATCGTTGCTTGGTGCTGCTTCGGATGTTTGCTTATTGTTGTTGTCGTCGCCAACGGGATCTGTCTGTGTCTCTTCCACGCTGAATTTCGGTGGGGAAGGGGTATCGGCCGCCATGGAAGAGTTGGCCTGGTTCGGGCCAGGAGTCTCAAAGTCTTCGCGGAACCGGACATCGTGTTGTTCGTGCTCCTGCATCTCTTTGGCTTCTTGTCTCGTCTTTGGAGGATGGACGGCTGGAGGAGGGGCAACGCCTCTCTCTCTCAGCATCTCCTCCAGGAGAGTGATGCGGTTGGATAGGGACGACATGTATGCTTTGGATATAGGCCTTTTTGTCTTGAAGTGTCAGAAAATATGTTATAATGCCAGATTTGCGGGGGTGTACGATGTTCGGTCCTTGGTTATACACACCTTCGCCTCTCGTCATCGTTTCTTATGATACACTCTGCTCCGGTCTTCTTACACTGTGTGCACCCGGACTCTCCGTCGGGCACTACACAACGTATCCGCCTTTCCCGGCAGGAGGCGCAGGCAACTGAGGCCCGGTGACGCACTTGTTGTTGTTGCTGTTGTTGTTTGCTCGAGGACAAGGACCTTGGTGTATGTGATATAAAGTCAGGACTTGAGGATTCGCTAACTCCCGCGGAGGGAGATCTGTCGTTTCGACGCAGGATGGACATGGGGAGGAGAGTGTACGTTAAAGGTGCGGGAGCGAGAGGAAGATCGAAGACGAGTGACGAGTAGGAGGAGTAAAGCGACTGGCCGAAAGGAAGAACGACTGGGTCGGTGTGAGGTGTCCGGTTACTGCCGCGCGTACAGGTAGTGAGTGAGTGAAATGATGAGTTGTCAAGAAAGATGAAAGAAGCTCTGTGTGTGTGTGTGTGTGTGTGTGAAATCTCGTCGAGTGGCTGGAGGACACGAAAACACAACGTTTACTGAGAGAGCCCATGAATGAATGAAGACAGCAGCAGCAGCGTCATCCCCATGGTCCAGTCCAGTTAAACAATGATCATCGCCCCCTGCCACGGTTTGACTAAAGCCATGCCCGTTAGTAAGAGCCGTGACCAAGAGAGACTCACTTGAGCCCCTTGGCTTCTCCGCATCTTCAGGCTGGCTAAGCTGGGTGTGCCCCCTTTGATCCACTCGGTCCACGATCTGACTGCGCCGAAAAGAGACCCACCTGGATTAGTTGATGGAGTTCTCGAAGCCATTGGATTGCCCCCTTGGGCACTAGCGCTTCCAATAGGCACCGCAAAGGCTCCGCCCAGCTGGAGAAAATACGCCTCTTAGTGACCTCTTATCCAACTTTTGCGTGTCGAAACGCGGGGGAGAATCCGGGGAGAGCGGAGAGGTCCACTGGGAATCTCTTTTTTTTCTTGTGTTTAGTGTGGTTGGGGATATGGCGATCTTGTTGTTGGCTCCCCAGTCTCCTGCCCCTTATTTCCAATTCTTAGTTTACCTGCGAGAGTTCTCCAACTCTTTATGGATTATGAACATGGTGACTTTTCAGTGTCGAATCGGGGAGGCTTTCAACGTGGGACGACGCCCTTTCGACAGACATTGAGTGAGTTCGGGATTCGGGATTATTTGGAGGAAACGGCACCTATCAGCTTGTCCAACAATGTCCAATGCCGGATGTCTGAAGAAATATGCGGCTCGCTGTGCCGAGGACCATCAGTTAACCCGGTGGAGCACACTGTAACCGTTAAACCGACCAACAATGGCACGCTAATGCTGGACACGTTTGGAGAGGTCCGGGGGGTGGGCTGGTGTGACAATGTAACGTTGGCCGGGATCCTGCCACACTCTTTGGCTGAACCAACCAGAAACCGTCGAGAAGCGTTGACGTCCCCAACCCGATCCTGACTCTCCATTTTCCCCGCGATACGGGCTGGCACTAGAGAGGAAGACATCGGGTCAAGCGAAGGCAAGGAGACCCATGAAGAATGTCATTCTAACGCTACCCTCTCGGGAAGCGGAGTTGGTCAGACACTCTAACTTGAGCAGTCGAAGCCAAGCAGAGCCGGACTGCAAACGTAGCCATATCAAGTAGTAAACCCCGACAGCTATGGAGCTGCTGAAGCTGAGAGGCAACTGCAATGTTGCAATTCATCAATGCCTTTGTCAATGTGTTACAAGTACGTGATACCACAGTAGATGACTGATTACGGAGCAGTCCAGCCACTTTGGTGACCTTGGCCAATTTCACACACGAGGCGGATGATACGACTACACGAACGAACCTCCAACGACTTTGCTATGGTTCGCTCGGGTAATCGAGGGTAGTCTAGGGGAGCGGCAAGGATCGCCATGCGCCGTACCTGCAACTACGTTCTCGTGCAGCCCTCACCATTCCCTCGGTGGCGCCGCTCAGCAAAAGCCCCCTTTCCAAAGACCCAAACAATGGGCGAAGCTACCCCACCCGCTCTCATCCAAGGCCCGCTATGTATGATACTACCCAGCCTGCCGGCTACGATCGTGGTGTTTGTGGGGGAGCTAGGGGAGCGGAATTGGGGAAGAAGGCGTCAGGGCGTCAATGTCTTGACGGCGACAAGCTACCCCGCATAAAAAAAGTCAGCGCCCTTCTGCCTATCTCGGTCCCCAGTTGTGAGTCCGCCGTAGCCATCCATGATTGGCATGAAGTCGGCTATGTGGAAAGTGTAGAGAGCCACGCTGAATAGCTGTGGGATATAATGTGGTAATAGGATAAAACCGAAGGCACGGCACGCGTATCTACCTAGCACGGTCGTGCCAGCAAAGACGTTGAGTTTTGCAGAGAGGCTTGACAGATTATGTGGCCAAGACATTGAGGGCTACAGAAATGTTAGCTTCCTATGTATCAAGGCCTTTTATACGTCCAACTGCCCGGTTAGTTATCTCGCAGCTGTTTCGATATATGACGTTGCTATGGGCAATTTCAGAGCCATTTGAAGCCAGACTTGAAACTGGAGAGAAATGGACCGACAAAGGGGAATCGATTGAATGCCAACAAGATTAAGGAAGGCCAACGCTACCAAGCTAAAAGGAACAGGTGCCGATAATCCTCGAAGACAAAGTATGTGGCTCGAATAGCTCATGATGTTGTACTTGGGCTCTCCGAGTGAGGTGTCAAGTCGGTGAGGGCTATCTTGTCTTTAGGTTCTAGTGAAAGAGGCTTCTTGCCGTCTATGACTGGTGACGCAATAACAGTTAGTTGATGTGGCTGGAGGGGGCAAGTTTCCGGCATTCAGCACTTACGCCTTTGCCAGAGCTCGTATGAGCAGACGAGGATGATGGGTGTCCCGATCATGACGGTTGTCCATGTCCTCTGGTAGGCCTTGTACTCGGGACTGTTCGGGTCAACCCGCTTGGGTTGCCCGGGTTGTGCGGGTTGTTCGCCTGTGGCCTTGAAGTTCCCGGACTTCCCGGCTCGTTTCTTGTCCGTGGCATAGCCGTGTCTGGAGCTTCTAGGAATTCCTGGCACGGGTCCTGTATACGTGTTTCGTAGCAGGGGGCGGCCGCGCTGGGCTAGTGAAGAGGTCCTCGTTGAAAGGAACATGTTGGAGTCTTGTCGGGTATGTATCGTTGTAGTGACGCTTGTGTTCGATGTTGATATTTCTGTCCAGAACCAGTCAGCCAACCGAGAACCACCATTGCTGCATCGCTTGAGAAGCGATTGAACCACAGGAGCAGCTAAACATATCAGTAAATACGTACCTTGAAGAGCAAGGGGCAATTCTGGGGTCATTCAAGCCTTCAAGGAACCCTTGTGTCTGCCCCGGATTCGTGATGGAGAACTTGAAAGTCGAGTCAGGGCCTTGCAGTGCCATGATGGAGCGGCATTGAATCCATCAACCGACTGCGCAGCCGAAGAATGGAGTCTGTGCGCACGGCCCGTCCGTGAATTCTGGTCGGTGCAATTCAGCCCGAGTGTGACTCTAACCCTAGCGCCATGGCTCAAATGGAACCCTCCAAGCCCGACTTTTCTACCAACATCCGCAAGAATCATGACTCAGCAGGATAGGGAGCTTGAGAGAAATAAAAGCTCAATATTTCGACGAACAATCATATCCCCTTGTGGTGTAGTTGGCTATCACGTTCGGCTGTAATTGTATGATTGTATACCGAAAGGTCACCGGCTCGATTCCGGTCGAGGGGAAATTTCTTTTTTTGTGATTATTTCTGTTCCCCCCCTTGTCCACCATGCTACCTTCTTGTCTTCCTTCTCCTTCTTTTTTCACCAACTTGGCACTGCCCTCTTTACTTGCCAGTACTCTGAAGCACTTTCTTGAACAATGAGTGCCTTCGTGAACGACCCGCACAAAGAAAGACGATTGTGTTGTAACGAGCCATTGTTCGTTTTGTCTTGCCTGTCTTGCCTGCCTTGCCTGTCTTGCAAACACCATCATTGTTCTTGATCAATGATAATCCGAGAATCCCAGGATGGAACGTATAAAGCTCGATGCCATGTCTCTCATCCGACCTTCTTTTTCTTGATATCTCAAACGCAGTGTCATCAAACACCAACGAGCCCCTTCACCCTTTATCCCAAATCATTTACAACTAACAACATGCCCAGCGCTAGCTTCAACGGCCGCAGAGCAGTGGGTCACGCTCACATTTTTGCAAAGGCAGTTCAATTCCAACCTCAGGAAGACACCGAATTCTCCCGCCCAAGTGCGTCTCACCGCAAGGTCGTTAACATAGGCGACATTCTCGACGACCGCTACCGAGTCGTCCACAAGATCAAGCAATGCAGCAGATCCGTCTCCTACCGCTGCCGGGACTTGGAAGACGAAAAATGGCGCCGCGTCACCGTTGCCCGCTCGCATGAATTTATGACCGCCATGGACGAGTTTGAAAGGGGACTCGAAGCGAGACGTCGGCTTGGTGAGCAAGAGGCCGAGCGCCAGGGCTTCTGTCTAAAGGTCTTCTCGATTGCTGGACCCGGCGGCATTTATATGAGCCTGGTTTATCCTCTTAATTCTCACGAGTGCGATCTGCGGTTTGCTGCGCCTTATGACGAGGCTTACTTCTTGGATAAGCTCAGGCAGTGGGAAGAGAGGGAGTAATTAGATGTTGTGGACTGGTAGAGGTAGGTATGAGAGTGCTCATGTTCATTTTGGGCTTTGCAAGTTGCGTACAAGATACCACTGAATTTGACATGTTTCGTTGTTGACGCCTAGTGGCGGTTAGGAGTACCTACACATATATATTTGGTGATGGTGTCAAATAATATACATTCTTTTTTTCGCGAGTTTTGTTCTACTTTCGAGTTGTTGAATACATCCAAGTACTATGCTTGATTTTCCTTCTTTGCTGAATGGTCCTGGTCTAGAATGGCTTCCGCGTGATTCCTTGGATAACCTTCCCTTCGTGCTATTATAGACCTTCTCATCTCCCGTCTCTCGGACATCCAGTGACCAGTCAGTCCCTCTCCTTCAAAGGCATGACTTCTTGCCCTCCCTAAGACCTCACGCAACCTCCATACTTCAGTCCCTCCCCATTCCTCGGCACCACCACCTCCTTCAAGTGTCTCTCCTTCGCCTTAAACTGCAACCCCTTCAACAGTCCATACACAACCTTCAGCGTCGGCGTCTTCACCCCAACCCTCTCCGCCTCCCTCAGCGGTTCACCCACAAGGTTCTCAAACTCGATAAACTTCCCCTTCTCCACATCCTGCAACATGCTCGGCTTAAAGCACTTGTCATACCCATCAGCCGTGATTATCTTCTCGATCAGTTCTTCCTCCAGCTCCACGCCGGCTGCGGCCTTAGCCGTCGCCCGGATCTCCTGCATCAGGGGGCGGATCAAATCGTCGATGATGTGCTCGCTGAAGCGCATGCGTGACGTGTCCATGCCCAGGATGGCGGCCACGCCGTTGTACGAGGCGTTGTATAGCAGCTTGCGCCAGCGGGAGTAAGGGACGTCGGGCTCGTAGGTGCAATCGACGTTGGGGCCGCAGGCGCTGTAGGCGTCCATGAGATGGAGGGCGAGGGCGGTGGCAAATGCCTTTTGAGGCAAGCCTGCGGCAGGGTTGTGGAAGGCACCGATGAAGGTGCGGTCGTGGTTGTGGTGGTTGATGGTGCCCGGGGGCGACTCGATGGCGCCCATGAAGGTGATGCCGGAGAGAATGGTGTTGGTGGGGAATGCGGAGAAGAAAGGGCGCTCGATGTTGAGGCCGTTCTGGATGAGGACGATGGCGGTGTGGCCAGGTGTGATGGCAGGTGCGATGAGATCAGGAAGACTCGGCGGGATGTCGGGCGCGTTCTTGGTGGTTACGATGACGTAGTCGTAAGCGGCTCTCCATGACTCCTTGTTGACAGATGGGATACTATCGAGAACTAAATACGTTATGGTGAGTTCATGGAACTTGAAGAGGACTTGTTGTTTTATTCATAACTCACTTGAAGTCGGTTGCCAGTCCTTGATTTCGCCGTGATCTACCGAGTGAATGGTAAAGCCATTGTCGAAGACAGCTTCAAAGTTGGAACGGAGGACCGCAGCTACCTCAGCTTTACCTCCTTTCTCGAGGGCGTAGGCAACCATGGTACCGATGCCTCCCGAGCCCACGAGGAGCACTTGAAGCTTCTTGTGAACAGAACCCATCTTGTGGTATATGTTCCTTTCCCTGCCAGATTTGGTTGGTATGGGTATGGTGTTGGTGTTTGCCTTCGATGTCGAGGGTCTGGAAGCAGGGCTTTTGAGTTAGAAAACGAGTCTAGTTGTTGCCCTTAAGTACTTCGGAGGAGAGACTCGAAACAATATGACGAACGAGGCTCGTGCTCAACAGCCAGCGCACTGCCGGTTCGAGGTCACGACTTATACATTGATACCCCGACAAGTGAAGGGAATTTAATCTGATTTTCGGTCACCGCCTCTGCGATATCGGCTGGCGATAAGAACTCACCGGGAAGGAGTGTTTCGCAAGTGTCCTGGCTCCCAGGCGAGACGACAGTCCCACCAAGCCAGATAACTGGGACATGATCCCATGATATTGAGCAGCCCCATCCGCACGAATACTGCCAACCGCTCGCCGTTTGTCGTTGGAACAAGGGTGGCTCATCATTGCTTTGAGGCACGCAGCGGGATGTATTGATTATGTGGGGGTCAATAGATGCGGTTGGAGTTTCCGAAACAAAAGGTTGAGGCTCAAGAAACGGGAGTTTGCAGGATATCGGTGGGGGTTGGCTGATAATGATGGTAGGCCCAGTGAAACATTGTTACACGGCCAGTTTTGGTCGTTGGTTGTTGCTTTCAATGGGTTGTGATATTTGCACATCATGTTATCATTTCTTTGTTCCTTCCGCGTATTTGCTCAGCACTTTATCTGCCGCTTCATGACATTCCGTTTGGGGTGGACCAACGTCAGAGGGTAGAGTATATACGTATACATCCTTTGTGTTTGACGTTTCCACTCGGTAAGTAACAAAGGGGTCGCGTCTACAGAACCCAACATCTGACATGTCAATATGAGCAACGGCCACAGAACCCTTTTGCTACCATATTTCGATGCACAGACGTCAGATTTGTCTGATGAGGTATGGTTCATGATAAAATCATCTTTCTGTGGAGCATTAAAGAATTCCGAAACTCAAGGAAAGACCTATTTCATGTGAAAAAAAGACGCAGTCTTTGCGTTACCAATGGGATGACTGAGGTTAACCTTTCGCCTCCTTATACCAACAACACAAACGAACCTGACAGGAACTCATGCTATATTGCCATTGAAGTTGATGAAACATAAAAGCATGCCTTTTCCCACTATCAACTTTGTCATCAGGCTTTGACTAGACCCAAACAGCACACAGCAATCACAGGACCAAGAGCCCTTCACCATCAACGCAAAGCCAGTAAAAGGACATCCAACTCCATATCGAAGCAAGCTTTTGAGCGCCCAAGACAGACCTAAATTCAAAATGCCAGTTCTTGCCCTAGGGTTCGTCCTCCGAGCATGCACACTCAGCGCCTCAGAAATTGAACGAATTATCCAACGAATTATTCCTCCCTCCGAGGCCACCGTATATGGTCAATCCTACCTTCCCTGCTCCTGGTCGCCGTACGGAGTGCTCGGACCACAGCTTCAGGATGTTGCACGCGACTGGCTTGTCGTTGTCGGCTTCCGGGACCCGAACCCAATTACGGGACTGAGCGGTGGGCTGGCCAACGATGTTCAAGCACAAAATCTTCACAGACAAGTAGCTGGAGCAACCCGATCTGGGCCTAGAGCCACATATGAGGAGCGCGAGATTTACGTTTCCAATCCAAAGGCGGACTTCTCCCTACAGCACAGAAACCCTTATTACGATGATCTAGGCGGCTTTGTGGTTCGCCAAGAGAGGCTACTTGACGCATTCCCGTCCTACTCTGAAAAGTGGAAGTTGAATTCTCAGACTACGGTGGATTGGGGATACTGGAGGAGGGAAGAAAATATGGGAATTGGGAAGAGGTCTTGACGACACTCGGGTTGACGGACGAGGAACTGGAAAGAGAACAGCATGAAAAGGAGCTACTGATGCTCATGAGTGCCACGCGGTACATGCGCGATCGCAATCTGGTAAGATCTGTCCAGGCGACGAATTTGGACTGAATAGCCTTGCTTTGTGGTTGTATGAAGGAGAGGGCCAGGCACCGACTGCCTACATGGATGCCGTGGACAACTACCAATCCCTTCACGTTGGAAAGAGCTCGTAAGTGGAAGAGGGAAGGAACACAGAATGGAGATAAAGAAGGAGCTATTGCTACACTAGACGAATACACAGTACCTCCATCGTGCCTACCTCAAAATTCATCCGCCACATGCGCACTTGCCAGCTTCCAGTTAGTACCTCATCTCCGTCGTCACACGCGTCCCCTGCTGGGTAGGAGGAGTGGAGATTTGATACGCGAGGGAGGTACTTGCCGGGGCTTGGAGCGCTTCTGAGTTTATGCTGGCGGAGTGTACCCCCCTCATAAGTTATTTTTCATTCCAAGTAGTCATGGTAGAAAATTCGAACCTGGCCTGGCAATGTTCAATGTGCGTAGCACCTTGCATGCAGTGCAGTGTCAAGATCAACTATCCGAATAATACATGCGAACAAAAATTGCCACGAGTTCCGCATCCTCCTTTATTCTGGGTACTTCGGAGCCCTCGAACTGAAGGAGCGCAAGGCCATCACGTATCAAAACCCAGGAAACTCAAACGTCTCTTGCCTTCCCCTTTCCTTCAACTCCTTCCCCTCTTTACCGGTTACAACACCGTCCTCCCCGTCCACTTCCTTTGCCGCGTCATTCCCCGTCCCAGCGCCTATTCCAGGCACCCCATTCACCAACCCGCCCAAAAAGCTAGTATGCAACGAATACAACTCCTCATCCAGCTTAATCGCCTCGGCCTGGGCGAGTATATCCTCCAAATCCTGGCCCACATCGACATACTTCCCTCGTAAGACGTGCTTGGCAATTCCACTAGCCAGCGCAACGCAAGCCATGCCGTTAAGATACGGCGAGTCGTTGTAGAGGGTATTGAAGGAGTTGGTAAAGACAGAGTGAGTGGCGGGGGGCAGGGTGGAGATTGAGGAAGGCGAGTATTTGGACAGAGTCATAGCAGACTTGATCCCGCCCAGATGAAGCGAGTACAAGTGTACATCGTCTAGTCCGTCGATGTCAACCTCCTTTTGCACGCAGGCAGTGAGGTTGATCAGCGCCGCCTTGCCGGCGCAGTAGCCGGTGCTGTACGGGATGGCGACGGTGCCGGCCCGCGAGGCAATGTTAAGGATGCAGCCGCTGCGTTGGGACTTGAAGTGCGGGAGGAGAAGACGCATGAGGTAGTATGGGCCGTGGAGGTTGACGGCGAGCTCGTGGATGAAGGCTTCGGGAGGTTGGGTGTCGAACTGTTCGAGAGTGACGGAGCGGAGTCAGTGAGTTACCCGCGGTTACCGTCTTGAAAGAAGAAAAGGAAGTGGAAACCGTACCAGGCCCAGACTATTCGCACCAGCATTGTTGATGAGGATGTCTACCCTTCCGTAATGTTTGATAACCTGAGCCGATCGAAGTGTTATCTATTAGCCCCTACTTTCCACGCGTTTTTCTAGAATCAGATCGAACAGTGACACTCGCCTGTTTAACCAGATCCTCACACCCCTCAAGCTCAGCAACATTACACTTAACAAAGGCCACATCACCAGCCCCCAGATCGACGCACTTCTCCCTGAGTGTCGTCGGTGGCGGGGTGTTGTTATAAGTCAGGACGAGCTTGGCACCAGCGACGCTGAAGGACTCGGCGAGAGCTTGACCTATAGCTCCGGCAGAGCCTATCGTCCGATATTAGCCCACATGCAGCTGTTGAAATACTGTTGCACTGATAAAAAAAAATTCCTACCAGTAATGATAGTTACCTTGTCCTGGAGAGCGCCTTTGAACTTCTTCGGGTGGATGAAGGGGTAGACATCGTTGTGAGAGCGGGGAGCGAACTGGGGCTTGGTGGTGCTTGTGGTGCTTGGGGGAGATGGGTCCGACATCTTTATGGGCTGCTTGGTTAGACCTTTAATGGCGCTTGGTTTTGTAGGAGTGAAGACCACTTTGACTTCAAAGCAGAAGAATTGTGTACTGACTTGAGAGTAGCCAAGTGTTCACACAAAGAGCCAACATCAGCACGAAGGCTGGGTGGTATCTGGTGTAAGATCCGACCCCGACAACCCGAATTCCGGAAAGAATGGAAGGTGCGGGGAAGCCCCTCCCCCAACACTTGATTGTACCAACGCAACAGCCAGACACGGGATCTGGATATTATACGTGCGTGCAATGCCCTCTATCTCCCATGAGATTACCCGCGACGTAGCTATGATGGGTGGTAAGAAGTAGTCAAAAAGACAGCACTTATAAGCTCTCAATGTATATTGACCTACCAGTCAAATCACGGCGCCTGGTTTAGTGGTAAAACCATCGTTGCCATCGATGGGCCCCCGCGTTCGATTCGCGGCTGGCGCAAAGATTCAAAAGTTTTTTATTTATTTTCTTATCATTGTCTTTGATGTTTTCTTCATTCTTTTTTGCTTTTTCCATTTTTCTCCCGCTTCCAAATCCTTTTCTGCTTCGCTATCCGTGCCACGGGTACTCAAAACCTACCGTAACATGTTCCTTCTCCGTATTCCCTCCCGCGCATTGACCTGTGATGCATGTTCTTCAGCTCGCTTCCATAATCACCTTTTACTGGTTTTGCATCATCTTGCTTTTCCTACGTCTCTCTCCTTCTATCCAATCACATATCCCGAATGGAGAAACTCAGAGTACTTCATCCTCTTCTCCATTCCCATTAAGACTTTTATCTACCGTACAAAAAAAGAAAATATGATATTGAAATGCCATTTTCCCCTCGCTGCCATACTCGCGCATCAAACATATTCAAATGAATTACCAAAGCGCACTTTTCTTTTCGTCCATTTCCCTCCTTCCTTCCCTCAGAGCTTAGAAGTCTTGCGTCTCTCCTCCAGAAGCTTGTTACCCAACTGCGCCATCTCAAACTTGCGCACCTTTCCACTTCCCGTCAGCGGAACCGTGCTAGGCACGCCATCCACGCCGAGATAGAAGACGTGCGTGGGAGCCTTGTGCTTGCCCAGCTTCCGCCTGCACCACTCGCGCACCTCCTCCGTGGCCATTGGCTGATGGCCGGTTTCGAGCCCGAGGAAGGCACCGACGACTTCACCGTAGTGCTGGTCCTTGAGGCCGACGACGACGGCCATGGAAACGGCGGGATGAGCTACAAGACGCTCCTCGATCTCGAGGGGATAGATGTTTTCGCCCCCTGTGTTATCGTTGAGGTTAGCAAGAGAGACAAGACGTGCGGGATTGACGGAAAGTAGAGTGAAAGGAAACGTACCTCTGATGATGATATCCTTAAACCGTCCGGTAATGGAGCAGTATCCCTGATCGTTGAAGACGGCCTCGTCACCGGTGTATAGCCACAACATGCCGGACTCATCCCTCATCATCACCTCGTTCGTCTTCTCCGAGTTGTTCCAGTATCCCGCCTGCAGCTGGTAGCCACCAATGCAAAGCTCTCCCTTGGTGCCGATGGGCACAATCTGGCCATCTCTATCGACGATCTTGGCGTGGGCATGGGGCATCAGGGTGCCGACGGTGGTCAACCTTACGTCGATCGGGTCATCGGTATGCGCGTTGAAGCAGGTCGGCGACGCTTCAGTCAGTCCATAACTTGACGTGAATTCGGTCATGCCGAGCTTCGAAACGAGCTGTTCCATCAGGTAGCGCGGGACGGGGGCACCGGCGATAATACCTGTCCTTAGACGCAAATCGGCAGCCTTGAGATCCTTGGCTTCGGGGAGGGCGAGAATGCTGTCGAACATGGCGGGGACACCGTGGACGGCGGTGCAACGCTCGTCGACGATGGCTTTAAGGGTAGCGGGGGCGTCGAAGATCTCGGCTGGGTAAACGATCTTGCCACCATGGGTGATGACGGACATGAGGCCCAGGACAAGTCCGAAGCAGTGGAAAAGAGGAGGAGGGCAGCACAGGACGTCATCGGGGCCAAGCTTCATGCGATCACCGATGAAGCGGGAGTTGTTGACAATGTTGCTGGAACAAGGTTAGCCGGAAGGGGCCGGTTTGAAGAATACCGGAAGTGCACTTACTGATGTGTGAGCATAGCCGCCTTGGGCAGGCCAGTCGTACCACTTGTGAACTGGAGATTGCAAACCAGGTGAGGGAGCACCTTCCTCTCCATATGATGTAGACGTTCTACGCTGACTTTGAACCCCTCAGAAAGCAACTGATCATAGGTCTGGTAACCTTCGCTATCTCCCCTGAGGATTACCACTTTAGGAGCCTTGGACTTCATCTTGAGTTCGGCGAGCAGTGGCCCTTGGTCGAGGCGACCGATCTTCTTGGTGATGAAAAGAACCTTGCAGTCTGGAAAGTGTGAGCTTGACTGTGATGGGTCCTGGTCATGGCTTGTGGGCGGAATAGCATACCTGAGAACTCCAAAGCATACTGAGCCTCGGTAGGGGTATAAGTGTTGTTGAGAATGACGAGAATGGCGCCTATCCTCGTGGCAGCAAAGAAGAGGGAAGCATACTGCTCGCAGTTTCCAGCCATGATGCCTACCCTATCACCCACGCGGATCCCCAATTTCAGCAAAGCGCGTGCCATGAGCTGACTCTGGTGGTTGAGCTCGTTGTACGTCCATCTTGCGCCAGTCCATGGAATAACGAGGGCTTCCTGTGTGCCGTGGTGAAGACATTGGAGGTTGAGCAACTCTCCTAGTGTGAGGTCGACCAAAGGAGGATCTGTTGGGCCGTGGAGGACAGATGGTCTCTGGGTCTGAGGGAGCACGGCTCCGTCCTCGACGGTTGTTGGTACCAATGCTGGGGAAGACATGTTGTGTATTGTGAGATGAGATATTAATGGCCCGATCGGAAGAGTAGTCGGAAGGGGGAAATAAGAGTCAAAAAGATAGAGTAAGTTGTAAGGTAAACAGGCACAGACAATGATGATGGGTTTGTTTAATCACTCGAGAATACTGTACAATGACGAACTGGCTGGCCGCTGACGAGTTCAGAACGGGACGGGATGGGATTCAAGGGTATTTGCAGCACACCAACAAAAAACAGAGCATGCAGATTTACAAATGATGGAATGCAACCAGCAGAAAACCGGGACACCTCAGCCAAGGAGACCGGAAAGCTTCGTAGGCCCAGAACTCGTCTTCGGTTTTCCCAGACTCCAGCTGGAGGTGGTCAGTCAGCGGCGGCGCAGTGGGGATGGGAGGAGCTGCTCAGTTCCCACTTTGGGCCACGGCGGACATGACGGATCGTCGACAAACTCGGTGATATTGCCCGATTGCGGTGCTGTCTGCTGTCTGCTGGCGCCCTGATCTTAATCTAATCAATCTGATAAGATCCTTCTCTGGCACAGCCTTGTAGAAGGTGAGGAGGCCAACCTCCAATGGCTTCCATGTTCCCTTGATGGTGCTCCATCTCGAGCTGGAGTCACAGAGTGGTGAGAAAGCCGTGGGTGACATTGACACACATGTTCACCGTCCTGGATCCCGGACTGATTGAAGCTGGGTGGTGGAGGGGGCAACGGCGTGTTTCGGTCCCAGTTGCAACCCGGTCCTCGGCTGATGGCGGATGGCATCGTGGCATGGCGTTGAAGAGAGAATGGAGTCGCAACTGGAGTCGCAAGTGGGACTTTTCGACGAAGAATTTTTCACAAAATTGGGGTCGTGGAAGAATCGACAGGGAAAAGGAAGGGAAAGAGGCAGGAAGTGGACACGAGAGAGGCATGGAAGTTGGGAAGGTGGAGAGGCTGCGTCGTTAGTTCCATCTGATAACTCAAAATGCAACGGTGAGTCGAACCAGAGTCGCAAATGGACGGGGAAGGAAGGACGGACATGAACTGATCGCTTCCTGCTTCGGCTGTTGACATTGTGGTCGCCCCTTGGTAAGTGCATGTACTGGTTTACACGGAGAATTACAGGACCACAGGGAGATATTCTCGCTTATGTTCATATGCATGTAGCCCCTTCTCGTTTGTTTGACAAAATGCCGCAAAGATCGTCCGACAGAAAAGGATCTGATAAGAATTTCCCTTATTGCCAAGGTTCCCCTTCGCCGTGGTTGTCTCCTCCATGATGTTGCCATTGCCCCTCCTCCTGTCTCTCGGCCCTTTCCTCCTGGCCTTCTCTTATGTTGCCAATTGCCGCAAGGAGGATATATCTTGACGATATTCACCATCACTATATTGTCCTGGAAGGACAATGGATGGAGTTCTGCGACGCTGGATAGCTGCCCGCGTTGGTCTGTTTCGTTTCTTGGATTGCGGAGCAAGAAAGCCGAGGAAGCCCACCTTCTCCGCCCCCGAAACACTCCGAATTCGGGTGCAGTGAGAGTGCCAAGCAAAGTGGGACGGCACAGTGAGGGAAAAATTATCAGATCCGCCCGGACCTGCTCTTTGGCATCCGAGTAAAGTTATCAGATCCGAAGGTTGAGCACGGTGCAGCAACGCCATCTGCGGCCGTCACACCCACTTTCTCTTCCTTTCTGACTTTTCCATTGGCCAATTTGTCCCGCCAAAGGACACCACAAAGTTTCACAAACCAAGCCATCGTGATGGATCAACCCCATACCCTGCCCCTCACTAAGCGAGTATATACCACTATCGAAATGACCTCACCTGCTCTCAACCTCCACCCTTTGTGTTCCCCGGTCCCTGGCTCGGGTTTACGTGTACGTAGCACGGCAGCGGCAGAGGAGGTTGCCGGCGTGCATTCGTACTCCTCCTCCACCTTTGGTTTCCTTGAAGCCGACGGTCCATGTAAAGGGGTGGGATGTGAACAGAGTAGCAGTGTGTACTATGTAACAAGTTTTGTGATCATCGTTTTCTTTGGCTTCAGTTCCGTCCATAGCCACTTCATCAGTCTTTCGGTCCTTCAATCTGTTTGCTCCTACAATTTGCCATTTTTTCTCTTTCCAAAAGTGACGATACCCCAAAAAGTAAACAAACAACAGCATATTCTTTAATCTTCATATACCCACACACACACACATTTTCACACACAATGGCTTCACCAACAATCCGCCGGCTTGCCGACTATGTCGCCGTTTCTGAGCCCATCCTCAAGCTCCCTCACCCCTACCAGACCTCGTACCTCGTCGTAAAGGGCGAATCCGGCGTCGCCAACTCGTACCAGCTCAAGCAACAAGACAGCAAGGTCGCTCTGCCCCGTCCCCTCCACAACGACTCCCTCTACTTCACCGAGCCCCAAGACCTCAAGTCCTCGGACAAGCCTCACATCTCCATCAACACGCCCTGGGGCCGCGCCCGCCGCTCCCCCTCCGTGGCCGTCTCGTGGAAGGAATCTGCCGCCGCTCCCACCGTCGGCCAGCTCTGGCTGATCGCCTACGTCATCTTCACCCTCCGGCCGTCCGAAGAGGCCTTCCGCCTCGTCACCTACGGCTTCGGCGCCGACAAGCTCGCCCGCCAGCTCAAGGCCGTCGGCCTAGCCATCGACCACCCTTCCCCCGCCACCCCAGAGCAGCAAAAGCTGCACGGCTCCGATGCCGGCAAGGAGCTCCTCCTCCTGCGCGGTGCCTTCTGGCAGGGCGCCGGCTCTCCCTTTGGCGCGCGCCCTGCCTGGGCCCCCGAGACGGTCGCCGACAGCGAGGACGGCACGCTCGAGTCCGTCTACCCGCTGCAGGCGACCGAGTACGTCATGACCAACGAGCCCAACAGCGCCTTGTGCTGGCACCCGCGGCGCCGGGCCAAGCCCGCGCCCGGCTCCGTCATCTACAGCCGGTACATCCCGCACCTGAAGGAGAACTTCTCCATGGTGGCGCTGGACTACACCAACCCGGCCCATCTGGACCTGTTCCACACGTGGCAGAACGACCCGCGCGTGTCGCAGGGGTGGAACGAGGAAGGCACGCTGGAGCAGCACCGCGAGTACCTGCGCAAGGCCCACGAGGACCCCCACCAGATTACCGTGTTGGCCGCTTTTGACAATGTTTTCTTTGCTTACTTTGAGATATACTGGGCCAAGGTTTGTTTTTTTTTCTCTCTCCCGTCCTTCCCCCATTTTTCCTTCCTTCTATTGTTGAAGTTCATACCTACTAACCCACTCAAAAGGAGGATCGCCTAGGAGCCTACTACACCCCGGGAGACTATGACCGCGGCCGCCACTCGCTGGTCGGCGACGTGCGCTTCCGCGGCCCCCACCGCGTTTCCGCCTGGTGGTCGTCCCTCATGCACTACCTGTACCTGGACGACCCGCGCACCATGAGCGTCGTCGGCGAGCCCAAGTACACCAACAGCTCCGTGCTCATGTACGACATGATGCACGGCTTCGGCCTCGACAAGTTTGTCGACCTCCCCCACAAGCGCTCCGCCTTTGTCACCTGCTCGCGCGAGCGCTTCTTCCAGCTGTGCCCGCTTGACGAGAACCAAAAGTTCCTCGGCGGTACCCATGTTGGCCTTGTTCCCAAGCTTTGAGTGGCGTGTTACGGAATTGAAAATGATTTTTGGGTGCGGTTGAATGATTGTAGAACAAAAAAAAGGATTGGTGCATTTTTGGTCTTGGATCTTGGATATCTAATAGACTAATAAGGAAAATGGCCGGAAAAGTTACTTTTGGGAAAGGTAGTCGAACGAAAAGAACGGAATTTAAATATTGCATCCAACTAGTTGCAGACGCTCTCTGCACAAATGATGATTGTATATATGGGCCTTGGAAAATTGTCAACTCCGGCATTGTCGTGGCACGAACTTGAAGTCTCAAATAACTGTAAATTCCTTCTAAAAAAGAAAAGAGAAGAGTACTTACATTTGAATGCTACGAGATCAGAATATGCAAAGAAAAATGGGCTGGAAGACCAAAGACCCAATGGAACCGAACCCACCGACAGACCAAACAAGTTCTGGCGTGTGCCAACACAGGCATGAACTTTTATCATTGGAAAACAGAATGAATCAAACCAAGAAAATCTATTCAAGATTGCACTCAAAGTGTCTTACTTTATCATGACCAAGAAACCCGTCGCTTCATGAAGACCCTCCAGGTCGTAACCAACCCAGCTAAATGGTGTATATCCCGAAATTCCCAGTATGTTCCCAAATTACCCATTAATATCCCAAAATGCCGTCCTAATCCCATAATATCCAATCCGCTTTCCGCTCTAACGCCAATGCCTTTTGAAATGCTTTTAAGCCTTAATAACATCATAACCACCCAGTCGCAAGTGGTTCCAGCAGATATCAAAGCCAAGGTCATCACCAAAGAAAAGCTTGTTGACATCCTCGCCCGATGACACGCCGTTTGTGGGCCAGTAGGCAACAGCCTTCTTGCCAACGGCGAGACCAATCATGGGAGGAATCTCGTCAAGCTCAAGGTATGTAGGTTCGGTGCCAGAGACAGCCTGCTTCATACGCATGTGAATGTTGTTAGCGGCCAGGTAGCCCATGTGCATGGCACCACCACAGCGCTTGATACCGGACCACTTGACAAGGTCACCGATGGCGAGATGGTCATCCGAGTTGGGTGTTTCGGAGGGGAAGTGGAGGCTGCAACAATCAGATTCGTTAGTTTGGGTTTGAGCTTCATCAAAACTGGGAATGGACACGTACCTGGGCTGGATCTTGACATAACCTTGCTCGTTGAGGACTTCCCTGGGGAGGAAGGTGGTCGATGGCACACTCCTGGAAATGGCCATGATGACGGAGTCGGCCACAAGGGTGTGACCGTTGGTAAAGTAGACCTTGTAGGCCTTATGTCCATTGTCGACGAACTCCTCGGTCTTGTCGACACGGTGAGACATGAGCACATCAACACCGGCCTCATGGACGAGCTCCAAGCTGCGGTCCTTGACCTCATCAGGAAGAGGCTCGGCCGAGAGAAGCTTATCACGCGAGTGAATAAGAGTGACCTTCAAATCGGGGCAAACGAGCTTAAGCTCGGCAGCCATTTCAATACCAACGGCACCTGTTGTTATTCATCAGTCAGTAAGAGTCACTCTGACAAAGGTTGACGGTTCTGTAGTAGGGCAAACTCACCTCCACCTACAACAGCCACGCCATGTCTGTTGGCAGTCGCGGCTTGAATGTGCTCACCAGCCTCAAAGAGATACTGCTTCCTCAGAAGGGACTGGGGCACGACAGGGAAGACTCTCCTCAAACCAGCGGCGGCAATGAGGTAGTCGTACTTGAGTTCTGTGGGTTCAGGGCCGCTCTCAGCCCCGAGAACCTTGGCGACCTTGCGCTCTTGATCGATGGACTGGACAGAGCCACGGAGAATGCGGATGTTGTTGGGAGATTGTTGCAGGGCGGGAACGTCCTCGTACTTGACCCAGCACTTTTCGGCGTAGGACTCGTCGGCAAAGGCCAATGGGCTACCAATGAGATGGTCTTGTGAGAAGAGCATGTGTGTTAGTCAATGTGAATGTTGCTGACGGCCGGACCAAGTGGGTGCATCTTACAAAAGCCATCTCTCTCGTCCACAACAGTGATGTCAACGGCAAACTGGGGGCCATCATGGCCAGCGGAAGTGCCGTCAAGGGCAGCCTTCTTGGCATCAGGACCGCAACGGGCAGCGCGGCCACTGCAGATGTCTTGCAAGTTGAGAGCGGCGGAGAGACCGCCGTAAGAGCCACCAACAACGAGAACCTTGAAGGGTGGCCTCGACATGGTGGCGTCGTCAATGGCAATAGAGCCCATTTTGAATATGTGGGTGTGGCGGTATGTGTGTGCGGAGGTAATGTGTAAGACTTCGCAACTGCCTCTTCTGGCGACGGATTCAACGGACTTTGATGTCAGACGGCGTGGGTTGGGTTCGTTGGATGCGTTGGATGCGTGGGATGTGTCGATCGAAAGAGGAAGAGGATGGCTACACAGACTGGAACTCTGGGAAGAAAGTGAGACGACGGATGTGGGAGACGGGGCAACTATGACGGATGAATATGGCGGCCGGAAGGAGGTCGGATGGATGTGTCGGGCTCGCGCCTTCTGTCATTCTGGTCATTTTGAGCACCTTCCTGGATCCTGGACCGGGATAAAGAGGGTGGGTGGATCTCTGGCTCTCATGTCGCATGGATACGATGTCACCACTCACCACCCAGGCACTCAACAGGAAGGAAGGAAGGAACGGGATGCCGGGAAAGAAGTCAAGAGTGAACGTGAAGATATGCAACAATTGAAGGGTTGTCACCTGGGTTCTGTACACTACTGTGTGGCGCCCCACCCACGACCCGACGGGACAAGCTAGGGGCAGCTAGCTCTGCTAGCCCATGCACTTCCCCCTCTCCCGCCGTCGAGGTCCTGCTTCACATGTGCATGCCCTTTTCTCCTCAGTACTTATCAGATCCGCCCTTTGGGTTTCCTCCCTTGAACTTCCGTCCATCATGGTGTTCGACAGGGGAAAAAGAACGATACAGCTATCCATGGGCAGTCAGTAAGTTATCAGCACAACTTGAACGGCAAAGGGCGGAGAGCTCAAAGAGCTCCGACCAAACTTGCGAAACAAAAAAGGGACAACCCGATCGATAACTATACCGGGAACCCCTCACACCCGGTACTTATCAGATAGAGCCATTTTCGTGAACTTTTGTTCCATCTGGTCCCGTATTCTTTTTCCGCAGACCCCGGCCGCCCAACAGCTCTCTTTCCTGCTTCCCCACCAGTCAGAGGACAACGGAGCCCACTCAGGAAGTCTTGGACCGGTTTCTGGCCAACGGAAATAATGGCTTCCATTCCCACTTTCTGCTGGTAGTGCGCTACTTTCGCTGGCGTGCATGCGCTGCCACGGAGAAAAAGTCTTGGGTGTTGGGAGTGTTGGGATGAAAATGCAACCGAGACATGCACCTTCATCTGATAATGCTTATCAGATCATCTGATCTCACCGAGAATTCATCCCAGCTTTTTTGCCGAGGATAGCCAGCCCGCCCTCCGTAGCAGCCAGCCCCCTGCGCACAGTGACGCGGAATTGGAGTGACAGCGTTGTGACAGGCCCCATCCCAGCATCGCGACGTTCCAGCTCCTGTGCAGACGAATCCTTTTTCTTTTCTCCTCTCCCACGTCAAAGTCTCCATCATAGATCAGAAGTCCACGCGAGAATTTCAACAACAATCACAAAGCGCCAGTGGTTTAGTGGTAAAATCCATCGTTGCCATCGATGGGCCCCGCGTTCGATTCGCGGCTGGCGCATTGTCTTTTCACAAGAAGAATATGTTCTTCGCACTCCTTTTTGGACTTTTGGTTTATCCCTCAGAAGCAACATGAAAAACAAGCACCTTATTTCGAGCAAACGCGTCTTAACTTTTTGCATCATCCTTTGTTTGCTCTTATTGTTATTGGAATCTCAACCTTTTGTTACTACTCTATTCCACCACTCTGTCTCTGTTCTGCCGGTGCCGATCTCAGGACCTGCCAAGGCTGTCAGTGTTGTCTGCGCAGCGTTGTGCGCGGCGAGTTTTGGCGTGGGCGTGTAGCCTCAGCTTCGAATTGGTGACGACCATGGCCTTCATAAAGAGCAATTGTGAGCATCATCTTCAACAAGCAACGGTCCGGTGGCGAAATGGTATCGTGTGGTCCTCCTAATTCGGGAGGATAAGACTGAGGTTGTGGGTTCGAGTCCCATCCGGATCGTCCTTTTTGCTCCTGCTTTTTTTTTTGCAGAAGTTTTCTTTGTTACCATCTTTGTCTCCGCAAGCTTTCGACTTTTTTTTATTCACTATTCTGTCACTTTGTTGTCAATATGTCCTCCATTGGCTAGAGCAGCATTGTCGACAAGGTTTGGTTGTGTTAAGTGATGTATTCGTGTTTGCTGCTTTCAAGCTGTCATTTACTTTGAACAAGACGTTCAATCTCGATATTCTTTCTGTCATCTCCAAACACCATATGTCGCACCATTTGGAAGTTGTCATTGACACACCCAGCCCTGATCCACGAGTTTACCTTGGACGTCTTCCGGACATAAGAGGATGCCTTGCGAACAACTGGAGACTCCTTCTCATCATCACCGCGTACCCTTCGAATCATTCACATACCCCCCTCAACACTTCTGTACACGTCTCAATATCGGGACAGAACCCTTTTCCCCCTCAACAGTAGGCAGCTGCCAATGCCATCTCAATCTGCTTCACGACCTTCCTTACTTTCCTCCTGGTGTTTTCCTCCTCTCGTTTTCTCTCCTGGTTCCGACGATAGTCTGTGCTCCTCAACTCAGGGGCAATTGGCCGCGATGTTGATGACGGTGGAAGTCCCGGTACAGTAGGCAGGGGCAACTCTGGAAGTGGTTTATCCAGTCTGATGATGCTCTTCTCGCCTCCTTTCTGCTCCTCGCTCCCCTTTCCGGCCCAGCCAGCAGTGACTGCACTGTTTGTCTTCTTCGCCTCAACCCTTCCAGCCCTCGCACGCGGTTGAAGCACCTTATCGGCCTGCGCAAACGCCAGCTCCGCCAAATTTGCTGCCTTTTTATTACCATCCCTCTCTGGATCAAAGAACTGCAACCAGACCTGCAGGTCCGATATGCTTGTCATGCTGGCATCCATACCATCCGCGTGCACCGCCGCGGTATTGTCCATGTCCCAACTGAAAAAGGCATCCACCCCGTTTGGAATCTTGCCCGTACCAGTGCTACCTTCATCGTCTTTGCCGTTCTTGCCCTCATTGGTGTCTAAAATCAAGGCCCTCCAGTGCTTGGCAATTCCCGGGCGCTGGAGCAAGCCGTAGATGACGTTGAAACGACTCCATTCGCGCGGTGGTTTGCCTTTTTTGATGAGCTCGTCGTTGCGAGAAAGTTCGGCGGCGATGTGGCGGAAGAAACGCCGCTTGAGGCGGAGATGCAAGTCGCGGTTGGAGCTGGAGCCCGAGGTCGTCTCAGCAGCAGAAGAAGAAGAAGAAGAAGAAGAAGAAGAATAGAAACAACCGGAGCAAAAACCGCAGGCAAAGGCGGTCTGGCGACGAAGAAAAAGATGTAAGTGGTCTTGACGGTTGCACGAGGGGCATCTGAGAAGGAATTGACGAGATTTGCTGGTCTCGGCAGGGAAGTACTTGGCCTTTGTCGGCAAGATGAAGTCGCAGTGCGGGCAGGCGAGGATTTTGTAGTTGTTGTGGTGATGCTGCTCGTGGAACCAGAGCCACTGGGGGCTTGCGAGCTGGCCCAGGCAGGCCTTGCACTGGCAAGAAGACATCTTTGAGATCGACTGACTCATTGGATGTTTTTGATCGCTTGATCAAGACGGGAAGTCACGATCGGTATCTTATGCTGAGAGGCTGGTGATTGAGAATTGGCTGAAAGAGAGGTTGTTGGGAAAAGGTTTGCAGTTGCGCGACTTGCGCGAGTAACGGCGTGAGTGAGCTTGATGAGCTTTCGAGCGATCGGTTGAACAAGGAAGGTTTGCTTTGGAGCGAGAGGACGAAACGAGGTGACGGCAGGGTGAGAGGGATACAACAGACGAGAAAAGGAGGAAGTTTGGAGGGGAGAGGCCCTCCTCTTATACCTGTAAGAAGGACCCACCTGATTGCTGTTTGCTCCTCGAGAGAGATGAGATGAAGGAAATGTTGAGGCGTATATGACGCCGAGATAGGCTGATTTTCAAGGCCACGTCTGGGGGGCATATACCAGGACGCGTTCGCGGTCGAAGTGGCCACGTTGCAATAACGTCGCTGAGGGTTTTCACCGGAAAACACACATTTTCTTCACCAGCATTGACCGATGAGAAAACGTGTGCTTATCGTGCGACAAGTTTGATGGGCAGTAAGCATGAATAAGATTTGCGTTGCTATTGTGGTGGAGCGAAACTGAAAGAACTTCTGGAATCCAAGGTTGAAGGTGAATGGGCCATGAAGGGGTGTCCCAAAGGGAAGTCATCCCAACTTCCGAAACAATCGGCGTCCATTGAAGTGGCCTGAGATAACATCGGATGATTACTCTAGCGTGGACACAATATATGAGAAAATAAAATATGTCTTCATCCAATCTGTCCCGAGTTTGGAACTTGCCATGCCATGCCATGCGATATTGGCTCGTCGATGGAGCATCATGTTGTTTTACCAGACGACCGGAACCATAGATACTACGTCAAGCTTTCATACTGAGATAGAGCTAAATAGGTATTATAAGCATACCGGATCGTATCCATGATCAGCTAGCCACATCTAGCGATACGAACTCGATTCCCGTATGGAGGTGAAAGAAGTCAACGGTGCAAGCGCTGGTGTAGACCATCCGCCCATACTATACCACGAACAAGAAATGTAACTTACTGGAGCTCCGATACAGATTTTTGACTCGAATACTAAGCATTATGAACTTTTCAAACAGATAGAACTTGTGGAAACTGTTGGAAGGTTTGAGTGACACGGGGATGGGGATGAAAAAGGGGGCTGGCGTCAGACTCTCAAAGCATTGAAGGGTTATAAGCCAATAATTAAGCCCAATCTTTAACTATCAGGCAAGATGGCCGAGCGGTCTAAGGCGCCACGTTAAGGTTAACCCTTAATCTCCTCTCAGGGTTCCGTGGTCCGAAAGGGCGTGGGTTCGAATCCCACTCTTGTCAACGCATTTTCTTTTTGTGGGTTTGTGGGTTTTTTCTTCTTCTTCGATGCCTCGTGAAGCCTTCTTTCTTTTGTTCTTCTCTGTTTTTCAGTTCGTTTTTCTCTTGCCATCTTGCGATCTTGAAGATTGTTCGTTTGTAAAGTTCTTTGGTTCCTGATTTTTCGGTAGCCTCGATATCTGTGGATGGGAATCGACTTTGTCCAAAGCCCGAGTCCATTTTAAATACGGAGTACCGAAATGCAATTCCCAAGCGAAGAAGAAACCTCGAATCGACACCAACGACACTTGCTGACCCTCTTCGAGTCCCTTGTCCATCTGATCACGGCTGGTAGACTCATTGGGTTCATCCTATCTCTCCCGCGACCATCGAGGCTTTTGTCGACAGACAAGATTTACTTCCCGGGGCTCGGGCCTTGATGCTATGTCCGAAGACTAACAACTCGTCCAAGTCCCCGCTCACTTCCCCTCGTGTGTGTACATTACATATATATACACGCAACATCAACTCAAATCTTACCTCGCTCCTCCCCGTAGCCTGCGCCGCCCTCTGCTGCCTGATAACCGTGCTGCTAATTTTAGACGTGAAATCCTCCGTAGCCTTGACATCCTCCCCGACATCCTCCGGGATCTCATCGGCATTCAACACATCCACCTCAAAAACCTCCAGCGTCTTCCACCCCTGTTCCGCCCGCTTGTCATTAACCGCCTTTCCACCCGACCGCGTCTCCCCCGACACGACCAGCACGTCGATGTCCTCCTCGCTGATCGTCGGGCCAAAGGCGTCTTGTATCCGCACACACTGCACGACGATGGTACCGTCCCTGAACACCGCGCGGAAATCGCCGTCGTTCTCGTCGATGTGGACCCCCGCCGCCACGGCCGTGTTGATGTTATTCTCACCCGCCGCCGGGCCCGTGGCTTCCCTCCACCCTTTATCCGAGAGCTGCAGGAGCCGTGACAAAAAGTAAATCACGTTCCGCGCCCTCGTCTCCCACGACTGCACGTACTCGGCAAACTTCTTGTTCTTGAGCAGCTCGTCGCCCGTGATGCCAATGAGGTACTTGCAAGGCTCGCGGCGCCGCGGAGAAGTAGCCGGCAGCGCCAGCTCGTCTTTGCTCGGTGGGCCCAAAAGCAGAGCGCCCGCCGTCAAGAGCAGCTGTGGCCTGGATGGAGATAGGTCAAAAGGTCCGCCTAGACAGACTACCGGCACGCCTGATACCTTTCTTCCCTCCTCACTTTCCTTCTCCTCCTCCCTACCTCCCGCCGCCGTAGTAGTATCTCCAACAGTCCCAAGCCCCTGATTCAACGTCAACCCCCCCTCCACAGCAACCAACTGCTCCTGCCGAATCTTATTCGCCGCGCCCACCATCTTCCCCTCCGCCATCTGCAAGTACACCTCGTTCAGCGCGATCCCTTGCTCCGTTCTCACATGGAAAATGTAGTTCCACGGATGATACGCCTCGGCGAAACTCGCCAGATCCACCACGACGGTATTGTTCGTCTCAATCAAACTCCCACTTGCCCCACCACCACTTCCTCCTGACCTCAGCATCTTATCCTCCGCAGTCACAAGCGCCTTGCGGCCCCGATCATGATCAACCAAAATAACAGTCGCGTCCACCGACCCTGGCCCGCCATCAATCTCCGTACTGATGCCCAGCCGGGCGCAGATGACGGAGATGATGGCGTACAGGCCCGCGACGAGTGATTGCGCTTGGGACCAGAAGAGGGTCTTGGCGCGCAGCTGGTAAGGCGGGCCCTGGAGGATGGGGACGGCGACGGCGACGATGAGTTTGGATGCGCCGTGGGGGTTGGCGTGTTTGAGCTTGGAGAGGACGGCGGTGAGGGAGGGACGGTAGGCGGCGTTGAGGAGGGTGCGGTTGAAAGGGTGGGGTGGGAAGGGGAGGAGGAGGAGGGAGGGGAGTTGGTCCCTTTTGTTGGTGGTGGTGGTGGTCATGGTGACTTGGTAAGGATGGGTTGGGATGGGGATAATTTGGAAAATACGAAATAAGTGCTAGGGACTAAATCCTCTTTCCAGAAATAATGAACGGAAGTTATAAAACCGGGTTGTTGGTGGCAGTGATGGCGGTGGTTGTGAGATATAGTGGTCGTAGCTGCCCCTCCTTTGTTTCGGTGGTGGGAATGAGACGGATAACAGCCTCCGGCGCACAAGGCGAAGGCGAAGAGAGCCTCAAGTGCGAAGTGTAATGTGTTGTTGTGACAAACTGGATTCTGTGCTATCTCCTTAATAGCGTAGGAATTGTGTTGAATGGATGTTAATTCGCAAGATGCCGGCTGTTGATGCAATGAGTGAGTTCAGATGCACCTCGGTGTTCACTTGCCGTGCGATGTGCAGGGTGCGGAGGTGCTGTCGTTTACAAACAGATCGGCGCATGATACATTTGATATGCCTGACATGTCGCAGTCCACGTTCAACCCTAACCCTGGAAGTATTGTTTATCCAATGCCCTGTGTCGATGGTGATGAGATTTGTAGCCGGGCATGTTCGACCCTGTTCCTGCCCGCTGGCATCGCTTATTCATTATAAACTATCTACTAAACATCCTCTGTATATGACATCCACATACGCCTATCTACGTCCAACTCCAACTCCAACTCCCTCACATGGCCACCGCCTCCTAAATGCCCGTTAAATCTCTGGTAAATCGACGACATTGCCATACTAGCCGCCCCATTTACGTACGTACTCGTTATCCAAACCAGATCAGGGACCGCCCATCCCCATTCCAACGCGCTGTTGCATCTGTTGCATCGACGACGTCGCCGTGGGAGTTGACCCGTAAAAGCCCGGTCCTCCAGGACCTCCATGTCCGCTCGGTCCTGGTCCTCCCGGTCCCATCATCCCAGGGTTCGTTCCCGTCCTCTCTCTCATCCTCCGGCCCTCCATCAGCCCCCTCAACCCTCTCTTCTGCAGACCAATCACACTACTCAATTCTCCAGACCAGATCTCGCCTCCTCGTTCTCTCTCATGCTCTCCCATATCTGACCACTCACTTCCACTCACGCTGTTCGTAGCGCTCAACTCCTCGCTAGGTGGCCTCCTGTCCTGCTGAAGCCCGGCCGTGTTAATATGCAACGCCGTCGTCCTTGCAGCGAGGCTACCGCCGCCAGCACCATACTCACTGCCGTTAGCTGAAGGTGGCATCGACCCAATCGGACTGGCCAGACCATCCAGGTCGGCAGGCGGGAAGAAGTTGGGGTTGAGGGTACCATCAATGCCACGTCCGCCTCCAGCCGCCATGGCAGTGGCATTGAAGACTGCGGCTGCGTTTCGGCTGTCGAGCAGGTTATGCAGCCGCTCAACCACCGCCTCAAGGAGACCATCCACCCGGTACGGCCGCGCTATTTGGAGAAGACTGCAGAGAATCTGTGGAGTGCACAACGGTGAGGTAGGCTGGGGGAGGTTGGAGGTATAGAGGAAGTGGAGAAGTGCTTGGATGGTGAGGAAGGTGTGCGGTAGGTAGAGGCATCGTGGCCGGTTGTTAGGCGCAAGAGTACGCGGTGTTGGTGCACTGTTGAGTGCGGCAGCGTCTACACCCGTTGGTGACATGATGCTTCCCGCGATGGATGTAGCGGCAGTACTGGGCGGCTTCCCAGTGGAGCTACCACCCGAGTATACCGACATGTTGCTCTCCATCGTACTCCTGTTTCCGGGCGTGGGTGTCATGTTGGAACTGCGGCCCATACCAGAAGACGCCGAAATCGAGTTAGACCTCAGTGTCATGACGTCGCTACCGTCCTGGCATGCTGTCCCTTCCCGGAGGAGCTGGACAAAATACGGACCCCATCGCCTGGCCACGATTCTAGAGTTGACAGGGATCCGTTCGCCTCCTATGCAAAGAATGTCCATATCCGCCAACTCCCGCATCGTGAGCGCCTTCTCTCCGAGCTCCTCAGCAGCGCGGCTGTGTTGTCTACCGCCGGCAGTAAAGCCCGCCTTACGGGCTAGACTCAAACCAGGACCGGTAAAAGGACTACTGGCGCTGACGAAGCCGCTCATGGGCGCCGTTTTCCTTGGGTTATCGTAGAAACCAAAAGCCTCCAGCTCTACCATGCAGACATTGCTGAAGTTGATGCGCCGATGGTTGTAATCATCCACAAGACTTCTCTTTCGGTGTCCCAAGACGACGAAAGTGTTCCTCCTGTTCCACAGCACGCCTCGGTTCCAACTTCCCTGGCTGAAAACAGCGCCTCCGGCATCGATCCTACTCCAGCTTAGGTTCCGAAGATCCAATGCCCAGAGTGCATACTCCTGCTTCGATGAGGTGAGATAGGTACCACTAACGACGAAATAGTGATCAATGATGCCTCCGTTGGGGAATCGCAACCCCGGCGGACTGTATTGCTCTTTCATGGTCGTTTCAACAAGTGTTCCATCGCTCGATCTTACCTGCAACTCCAGCTTGACATCGAGAAAGTTGTAGTTGCTGTAAATCAGCATGCTCGATCCGGCATCTTTGGCCTCCTGGGTAGAAGCCGCCGGGTCCTGCCGTCCATTAACAGGGTGTGGCTTGCCGATCTTTGCCACGAGAGATGGCGGCAGGGGAGCAACCACACTTCTATACGCACCACAGCTCTTGCCAAGCTGTTCGGTTGAAACCCACTTGAGGCTTCGCAGGTTAAAAACACTGATCTGCTCGATGTAGTGATTCGCGGCATCTTGGCCTCCTATAACCACCATTTCTGCACCGCCAGTCCCATCAATGTTGATTCCAATGCGCCCTTCATTGGGATTCCCCGATGAGGGATTATGCTGAAGCGCTGAGAAGGGGGCTCTGTGGGACGCAAAAGCGGCTGACGAAGGGAGGATGCATGCGCAATGAGCATACCGTCCCTGGGGAGCATCTTGTGTCTGAACATAAGCCCACTTCCTTGACTGCGCGTCGTAAATGTATATATCCGACATGACCTTGACCTCGGGCTGTTGGTCCTGCGTTATTGTGTTTTGGTTTGATATCGGGGACATACCACCATAACAAACAAGCTTCGTATCGCCGAGAGCGCACATGGAATGGAAATATCGAGGTGGGGGAACGTCGCCGGATGTCTCGATTTTGGACCAGTGTCGCCGGATGAGGTCCAGCTCGTACAAGTCAGCCGTTAGCGGCGCCGGCTTGCTTCTCGACAGTATCCTTCCACCAACCAAACACGAATAGTTTGTCTCCCCAAAACCGTTGTTGTAGCTCCAACCAGAGGCGGAGGCTCTCTGCCCGTTGTCCGGTGCACATTGCACATCAAACCCGACAGATGCTGTGATGGCGAGGGCATTGGTTGCGGTCCACCACCACCCGCTGCCTGTGGTCTCCCTTGGCCGCCATTGGGGGAGGGGCCGGCGGACATTGGCCCATTACTCCTCGGCGTCAAGTTTTCATGGCGTCCATCTCCTGCTTCTGATCTATGCACACTGGCGAAGCTGCTCTGACTGCTGCTCATGCTGACATCCTGGCGTGAGGTATCCTGTGATCTCATATACATGCCGCCACCTCCCATCTCCATTGATGATGACGAATCCATGGTGCTCGGTCGGCTAGAGTCCGCCCAGCTTTCTTCTGTGTCCACAATGGTCTCTAGCGGCTGCTGCGTGAGCTGAGGGAACGACGTAGGCGTTGATGGGCTCGTTGGCGAGAGTGTTGGTGGGGGAGGTTCCGGTAAAGACTTTGCAAGACTGTTTTGAAGACTCAGGGTCCGTGCATGTTGCGCCTTGAATGGGTTTGGAGATTTTATATTTATCGGAGACGATATAGGCGGTCGCTCTGCGGTGGGAATGTAGGGCTCAGAAGGCCGTCGTAGACCGAGCTGTGAAGGTTGGCGCGTGAGCCTCGCAAAGTCGTCTCGACCGGGAGTGATCTTCTTGATGCCGCGGAAAGCTGAAGACAAGAATTCGGACGGGGTCCTCGCAGGGGAACGAGAGGCCGGTTCCTCGGATTCGGAGTCGGAGAAGCGACTGGTGTCGAAGGCACTCGGTGGCTGCTGGCCTGAAGTCGGCGATGTCAGTCCAAAGCCCGCCATGTCGACAGTTGCTGCGCCCGCAGCGCAAAACTATCTGTGTAAGAAGGCTCTTGAGGGTAAAACAAGTGACAAGACATGGGCATAGTCACAGGAAGTCAAGGGAAGGAAAAGAGCATGTGAAAGAACAGAGAAGTATGTAGGGCGACGGCACAACAAAAGGGATAAAAAAGGTGAAGAGCGAGCCAAGATCCAGTCACTCAGCTGGCAAATGACAAACACGGGTCCGACCTTCACAAAGAAGGGGAGGAAGGAAAATTCCAGGATTGGTTGGGTCCGCCGTTGAGGCACAGACAGGAGTCAATGCCGGGACAATGGATCAAGGTGAGCAATGGCTATCCCGGGAGCATTGACACCTTGGACCGTTGGACGCGGAGCCCAGGGGCTACTATGTAGACACACCGGCTGTCCCGAGTAAGTTCCAACAGCTCTCCAGCCAGTCCACGGTCTTTGCCAGAAACCGAGCAGCGATGTTCCCTACCAGCTCGAAAAGGTAGGCGACGGGAACAGCGAAGAAGGGAATATTGGCTGGCCGATCTGAAGCAGAAACCCAAACATGTTGTGGGGAGTAGCGACACCGACGGTGGGAACACTCGGAGATGCCCCGAGTATCAGGAACGTCAACCCATCACAGGAAGGGCGGCGTGAATCATGGGAAACTGCGTAATGACACAGGGCAGAAATTGAAAGACAAAGACGAGATGGACCATATGGAAACGGTGTCACCGCGTGGTATGGGCAAGCATCATGATGGGCGACAAGAGAAAAAGAGAGAGGGATCAGGGGCCGAAGGAAGGACAGATTTGAGTGGGAAATGGGCAATGCGCAGCGTACCTGATCAGACGGTCGCAAACGTAGCAAGAAGGCGACAGTTGTACCGTGGACTGTTCTGCCGTGCCGGATTGTAATAATTAGGATGAATCGATGTTG